ATGATATGTGTTTTGGATCATGAGAATCGCAGCTCTTACACAAGAAACAAAGGGCTGCAAAAAATGGAACCTCCCAGGGTAAACACGTGGCTAGAAACAGTAAAAGATATATATAATATGGAAATGGTAACTTACAAAATCAACAATAACTAAAAGAAGCTGGAAAAAAGATGGTCCTTCTTCAAATTAAGCAAAGGAAGTTGACTAATTATATTTGACACAAATGTCAATGAAACATCAGACGGATCATGTTCAAGTAGTACACATGAAGCTGTAACATAAAACTAGCAGCAGGTCTGTTTCTAAAATAAAATTTTAAAGCCTTTTATTCTTTAAATACTTTTTCTTTTCCTTTTTGTATATGTGTATGGATATGGATATGGATATGGATATGAATATGGATATGGATATGGATATGTATGAATGTATGTATGCATGTATGTAGGTGCAGGTCTGTATGTATGTGTATGTGTTTATGTGTTTGGAGATATAAACGTGTGTACTTGACAGTACAGCTATATATGTATGTAAATATGGTATGGAGATATACATCAACTGACACAATAGTATTTCTCTGATCTTCACTGAGCTCCAGACAACTCTTCAATATTGTTAGCCACACACCAAACCCTCCCTGACTTTTAATTGAGCGTGTTTGAGAGTGTTTTTTAAATCTCACTTCTTCAAATAAATATTTGATTCATTCTCTCCATTTATCCTAGCCATCATCAGTTCCTGACTCTCATCTGGTCAAGTGCCTGAATATTTTAACTCAACTTTAGTTAAATCACTTCTTAAGATGTCATCTCTTTCCAATATCCAATATCTAAACTCCCCCTCTTGGCCAATGTCAAGAAAAGTAGATGTTGAGCCGTTCATTGATTATATGAATGTCAACAGGCTCTTTGATAAATCTCAGTCAGGGCAGGCCATAGCACTGAGGCAGCACTTCTTACAGTACTTAATGATATTCTTTCAGCAGCCAACTGTGGCCAAACATCTGTTTTGTTGCCTTTAGATCTTGCTGCAGCAAGGCTCCGTCCTTGGCCTTTTATTATTCTCCATTTATTTGTTACCTCTAGGGCAAAATCAGAAGCACCGTATCAAATTCCATTTTTATGCGGATGAAGCCCCGGATCTGACTCCACACAACAACACAGCATGTGTTAAAAATTTGTTTCCTCAAAACCTTCCTTAGTTAAACTCAGAAAAATCAGAAGCTGATATCATAGGTCCAGACTCTTCCAATGACCCCATCTCCCCTCACTTCTCCCCTTGGTTCTCTGTCCTCCTGCATTAAACCTCTTTTTGACAACCAAGGACTATGGAATATATTTAAATATTGTTTTTGCCACATCAGATTATGTGGGAAGTGGCAGGTTGCTCTCAATGTTGCACAAGCCACTGGTTTTATAACATCAGTTTAACAACTAACCGTTGTTAGTGGCAACCTGTTTTTGACAACCCTGCTTGAAAACTCTTTTTGACAGTACAGCTTCTTCACAATATTTCACACAATGTTATGTTTTTTATTCACAAAGAACTTGGAGACTGCCTCATTTATTCCTGTTGAGCTGATCCAGAATGCTGCAGCAGGAGTGCTCACCACATTCAATAAAAGAATCCATATAAAGCAAATTTTAGCATACCTAACCCACTGGTTAGTTACGTCTTAGAATTTCTTTTAAAATTCATTACTTTTAAAGTGTGTCTAGGATTGGCGCCTAATTATATCTCCAATATTCTAATCCCCTTAAGAGCCTGAATGCAGCCTGAGATCCTCCAGCAGAGGTCTATAACTCTGAGGTCCAGGCTGAAACCAGGAGAGACTGAGCTTTTGCACTCAGGGCCCATTGGCTGCTGGAGGCGATCAGTCACACTTCATCCACTTCAATACGACAACACTTCCTGTCTTGAAAGTCACATGTCATTAATTTAACCAATCAGAAGCTAGAAGGACCTAGACTGAGGTAAATACAAGGAAAACTAGAGAGATTGAGTCAGGTTACTGTAACTGATTTCAAAGATGCACGTGTAAATATTTAAATGTGTAAATATGTAAATAATAATTGAATAAACATAAATATGTAAATAGTCAACCTTAAAAATAAACATATTGCTTATATGTCTCTGTAAAGCTATTTCCCTTGTGTCTGTGCTATATAAATAAAGTTATTATTATTAAGGTAAGAAAAGGAAATGATCTTGATTTGTGGCAGCTGTACTGGTGCCTGGATGTGAATCTAAGGCAGAAGTGTCAAATCAATGTGGATAAACTGATCCTGGCACAGTATCAAGCCCATATTTCTCGCAGTGCAGAGACAGCTGTGTAGAGCAGATTTCCTCCAGGTGAAGAACGTGCAGAGACACAGAGAACAGCGGCAGGAATGTGCCACCTCTGGAATCTCGAAGACAGAAGGTGAACACAAGAGAATAAACTGTGCTTTGGATGAAAAAAGGATTTTCTCAGAGGACATCTAAAGCAAATCAAATGAATGAATTATTATTATCATTGATTATTCAATTAAAGTGACAATAATCAATGTTTAAAGAGAATTATGAATCTGCAGCTCACCTTGGCTTTACACAGCTTAATGGAGGCTCATAGTTTATCTGTGTGGACACAATTTTACTGTTTGGGTTCACTCTCACCACTCTCATAGCATAAGTTTTGTTTTCAGAGAACAGGCTGTAAAAAAAAAGCCACAGTCCACCACCAGCTTAGCAGCAAACAGCAGACAAACAGTCAGAGAGCTGCTGGTGAACAGAGGGGAGCATTTAGCAGCTAAAGAGGAGCTGGTGGAGACCAAACACAGAGCTAAAAGAGAGGAAATATTAGACTTAGATTCATCTGGTCGACACAAACACTGCTCCACATGAATGATCCTGTTGCTCTGTAACTGCTGGATGTGGAAATGAAAAACTGTTTGATAACAGTGTGTGAAAACACAGGTGAAACAGGGACTTCCACTGTATTCTTACAGAGGTAAAAGTAAGTGTCATTACCATATTTGATAGTTGGTCTATTTATTATTTAATTATAACTCATCTCTATGAATGGTTTGAATCGGTCACAGTTGTAAGCCAGTGATCTACAGTACATAGTGTAACAGAGCAGTTTTGTTACTTTAGCCCATACATATCTGTCTGAACTGGAAACATCAGAAATGTGAGCGCCACGATGTCAGAGTGTGGGTGTGTTGTTTCTTCAGATGTTATAAAGTCGAACCTGAACTCATTTGACATGGCACCAACTCTAATACATGCTGACGCTGCAGCCACGTTGAACATGCCCTCAGACACAGGCTGATGTTATGACTTGCCCTGCATTCTCCTTGAATGTCATGTAGCCATAGGCCAAGTGCCAGAAGAACATAGAGCAGAGGACTCTTTCCACAGGAAACTGTGCACAATCTTTTCACAATCGCTGTCAATGATAACGCACTCTAACACCATGGAGTGATATGAAATATATTGCTAAGACAGTCTCTCCTTTTTAAATGATGAAGATGAAGATGTGTGCGTCATGTCAAATTGATAAATGTCTGTTGCAGTGAGATCTCGGCCTGTGTAAAAAAAGTGACATTTGCAAAAATAAGGACGATGAAATGCATTTATGTCCTTATGTTGTATGATGTTCAAGAAATGTATGTATGTTTATGTACATATACTAATATTGTAGACATACTGTATGTTATGTAAATATGTATTCATCCCAAAGCCTGTCAGTCAGTATATATGTTGATATTATGAACAGGAGGGTCCAAAAGTCTGAGACCACTTTTCCAGGATGGGAAGATAGCCATGTTTAAAATGATGAGAAATTAAAAAGAAAAACATACACTGTTGCACATAAAGTTGGAATAATTTTGTTTTCAGACACAATCCTCTGTTTGTTCCTATTTAAATGCATCAGTAATCACTTCTGACCAGGTGCAATGATTACATTATGTGTCCAAATTACCCAGGTGAAATGAAATAAATCACATTGTCACAATCATTTCATGGAAAGAGGTAAAAAATATTTTATTCCAACTTTATGAACAACAGTATATATAAGCATATAGAATTTTTATATGTATGTTGTTTTAATGAACTTGCATATATAAATGACATAGGCTATATATCATTAACAACATGTTGTACCATATAAAAATGAATCATATAAATATCTTTAATACATGTACAACATACAAATTACAAACAATCATATATGTTATAAATTTATATCTTCATATATCCAGAGAATGGATATATGTGATAATAATATATCACCTAATAAATGACATATATGGCAACATAACTCTTGATATAGGGACATATATGTTATATATTACATTTCTGTATGGGGCTGTGCACTGTAATGATCAATGTTAATTTTTCATTATGACAAAATGGGATTTTGTAGGACAACACTGCATCAATACCTGAATTAAAAGACATCATTCTATATTGTATATTGCAGATATTATATGTATCTTTTTCTTCACATCAACACAAATAGAGATTATCAAAAAATCATAGATCAAAAAACCTCCATTATTATTTTTTTCTGTCATCCATTTCAAATTCATTACCTGTGATGATTTATTTATTATTTAAATTCATTCAAAAGGAGGAATTATGGATTATGGAAAACAAGAATTTTGTCTTGGGTTGAATTTAAAGTTGATGATACATAAGCACTGTGAAAGTAAAGCTGGGACATATCTGTGCTTTACCAAACTGAAACTAGGATAAAACAAGTTTAAATCAGATTAAAATAATGCCTTTTCATATGAAGTTCTGCATTGAAATTTGGAATCTCAGGTAAGATGTCTTGATGTAGCATGTTCCAATATTAAATGATTTCCATCTTTTTGCTCATATTCCTCTCTCCTTTTACAGGTGCTGCTCTTAACTGGAGTTGAGAATTACGACAGCACCTGAATGCGGCAGTGGCTGAAGGAAGCAGGCTGCACGTTGGTTTTACGACAGTGACTTGCTTTTTACGGTGAAACATGGCGCTGCCCAGATGAACTCGGTGAAGGAGTGCGGCATTGAGGTGAAGACTGTCGGTTTCTTCTTCATCTTTTCTATTCGCTCACAGTCTCAGCTGTTCCCTCCTTCAGCTTCCCTCCACGCTCAGCCACAGGTCGTGAGGAGCAGGTGACAGTTCAGGAGGCAACATGGCGGCGCAGGGAGGCATCTTGTTCCAGGAGAAGGTCAGCAGGCTTCTCAGTAGACAGGACGGAAGACCTGTGCTGAAACCCAACAGGACGCTGGCTCTGAGAGATGCAGTAGCCAACCGCAAACTCAAGAAAGGAGGTAGGAATACAGAGAGGGAGAGGCCAGTGTCCTCAGAGCCTGTTGTTGTTCTCATTCACACTGTTGACCGCAGAGAGACAAAGATGCACCACGAACGAATATGTTTATATAAGTCGGTCAGACAAACACACTGTGTGAGATACAGTTGTATCACGATGCATAGATAGATGTGGTTTATCAGTTTATCATAGTTTAACAGGGGCCTGTTTCACAAAGATGTTTTTGACTGGTCTGTAGTGTTGGTCCAGTCTTCATTCTGCTCATACATTAGTCTAAGTAAGTAATCAAGTAAGTAAGACTGCAAGTATGACTGTTTAACAAAAATAAAGGCCAAAAAGAGACACCGTAACCCCAGACTAACTTAAACCTAAGACCAATGTTACCATGGTAACAATCACTGACACCGGCGCTGACCACTAGCACCAAACAGCAACAAAAAACAGGAAACAATGTTTCATAATTAGTGGTTTGATAACATTGTTATGGAAAGAGCAGTGCGAAGGGAAGGAGTGTTAGTGTTTCACTCAGTACTGACTTTCCAAAATAAAACGTCCTTGTAACTGTTGATTCCTTTAAAGACAACATTTTCTGCCGGGGTAAATAGAGCTCAGTGGTTGGATGCGGTTTCTCGGTCGGCCATTATTTTATTGTAAAAAAAAAAAAAAAAAAAAAAAAAAAAAGAAGTCTTAATTTACCCAGAATTCATTGTACCACCGACCAGTTTAAGATAGTCAACAACTAAACTGCTTTGTGCGACAGAGGAATTGAGACTCAGTTTATCTGAAGTCTGACTGTTTGTTCTATCTAAGCCACAGTCTGTCTTTGTGAAACTGGCTCCCATAAGAATGTTTCTGTTATAGTGAATGAACACCTGTCGACTCAAAGGTCCTGTGAGTCCAGTATTTCCCTGAAGCCATGCTGGTCCAACATGTTTACCTTTCTGATGTAATTAACAGTGGGGGTCTGCAGGAAGTTAAAGAGCTTTCATTTCCTCAGAACAAGTGTTATATTTAATTTACCATTTTAGACTTGAATATTTCCTCAATAATATAACTTTATAACTTTAGTTACACAATGTTTTGTGATTGTTGTAAAACCTGTCTGCAAAATCTCCAGTCCTGTTTTTCCAGACATTTGACCTTAAATTAATTACTTATATTTTTAATTGGTTCACCCATCTAAATAAATGTCAATGAATTTACACTTGTTTCACACTGGGTAAATAATACTTGATCATCCTGACTGGTTTATTGATATCCTTCATACTTTGGTATTAAAAATTAAAATGTAACTTGGTGAAACCCTAACACAGCTCATTGCATTGATCATCAGTTTGTTCATCTTACATTACATCTTCCCATACATTTGTGACATTGTGATAGATAGCAAATATGAAATATCACTTTATGGCTAGTGTATTCCCTCTGGTGTGGACAGAGGAACAGGAAGTAAGGGTTGTTAAGTTGATTAGAGTACATTGATTGGCTCTGATATCAGATCCTGGGATGTCCCTACAAACAAATTTTAAAGAAGGTCAGAGGTGCAGTGCATGGTGCCCTGGATCTGAATGAACACATTAGGTAATAGGAAATAGTACATGAAGACAGACAGGGAAACAGGAAAAGCTCAAAGCAAGTTATTTGGCCCTTTTTTGCCTTTATTAGATGGTAACAGTTGAGATAGACAGGAAAAGGGCAGAGGGACAAGGGGAATGGCATGCAGCAAATGGTTCGGCTGGCCTGGGGTCAAACCGGGGGCTTCGCTGCTCAGGGCATTTGAGCCCATGTGGTATGTGTCCCAACTATTCGACTATCCCCACCATCACCCCAACATCACTACCTCTTTTTTTCAGAGTTCACTCCTGTCAGCATCATAGGACACACATTATGGAGATCACATACACTGTGAATGTGAGATACACAGGGAACAGCATATGGAAGGCAACATGCGTTTTAACTGAAGAGAGTGTGGAGCTCCTGTACAGGCTGCAACAGCTGAAAACAAACGCCCCCTCTTTTCCTACCCACCTGAAGTGTGAGGTGTCAGTTTGGGCTTGAATGCATCAGTGAGTTGTGTAGTCCTTCGGCTCCTCGTGCAGTCAGGAGATGTGCACATGACGGTTCCTCTTGTGTTCTTCTGAACACAGCTCAGCCACAAGTGTTTTCGTAACTGTCTGGTTCAGGTGGAGTTTTTAGGTTAAATTCTTCCAGATTCTGACTGAATCAGCCTAAGACCCAACCACACTGATCCCAAATTCAACCTCCAAATTTGAGACCCATGATACAGTATAATCTCACAACAGCCATACTACAGTGGTATATTAGGTACACAGGATCAGGCCCAGTAGTGATTTGGGTGAACTAAAAAAAAGATGTCCATCAGAATCATCAGAATACAGCTTTAAATGTCGCCATACAATCTCCCTGACAAAGGAATGAGCTGGGGTGGATTTCATGTACACAGCCAATAGAGAGCTTGTTAGACCTGGGCAGTTATAAACAGGATTTGCCCATTTCCTGGGTTCAGCTGCCCTGCACTACAGCAACTTTTCATTTCCTCTGACTGGAGCTGTCTAGAGCCAGTGGTCCTCCAACAGGAGGGGGGCAGACAGTGACTGGAGTTTTATTTGGGCTAGAGGTGTGAGTCAGCATCTCATGGATTTAGTTTTCTTATAATAACATGTAAAGCTGAACAGAAGATGAACTTGTCTGACCCTTATTGTCATTTAAACATTGATTATGTTCTATAAATGAAACTGCAGGCCTGTGTTTGTGGTGTATTAACCTACTGAGAGTGGTATGTCTCCTTGACAAACCCATCTTTGGCCAGATAACAGCAGATTGAATGTTAATTAACTACACATGAGTAATTAGTGACACTTAATTAAATACATGGCTTAGAAAGGGCTGCTTTGTGGACTTTTAGTTTATTACCTATAAATCTGTTGTATCACACCTGCAGTCTCAAACCAGCAGTCATCTGTTTAAATCGTTCACCTCCTGCAGCTCGTTAACACACTGTTAATTATGGAAGTTCTCAAAGTGGATTAAAGATTAAAGTGAAGCTTTTCTCTCCGCAGAGGCCACCTGTGTCACAGAGATGTCCGTCCTGATGGCCTGCTGGAAGCAGAACAACTTTGTGGACGGTGTGTGCTCTACGGAGACGAAGGCCTTCTACAGCTGTGTGGAGGAGGCTCAGGTGCGTTCACATCAGCCCTGAGATGACCTGTAAAAACCTTTTCTAATGCATACTGGGAAATAACATGTTCACAGGAAGTAAAACATTATTAGTACATTAAATCATTTTTGTATCACAATTTTTTCATACATCTGCACACAGTATATGAGAAAATGGCAAACATTCGCAAATTGAAATAATCAGATCGGATCTCTGCTGTTGACTGTGAGTACACTGTTGGAGTGGAGCTGACTGTGCAGCAGACTGTATAGAATGTCATTAGGCCAGTTAACATACAACAGAGTCCAGCTGTTTCCTGGGAGGAGGCACAACAAAATCTCCTCTTCCTCTCTCACTCATAACTGTGTGCTGCACAATCTTCCCTCCTCTGCGTTTCCATCTCCACATACAGTAACATATCGAGGGCTGAAACCTATTATCATTTTATAATCATCTGTTCATTATTTTTTCAGTTAATTGTTAATTGTCTGTAACATCAGAAAATGGTTGATAATGCTCATCATAATCTCCTCAAGCCCAAGGTGACGTCATAAAACTGCTCGTTTTGTCCCACCAACAATCCACTGCTTTTCCTCAAGCAGGAAAAGCAGCTAATTTTCATATTTCAGGACTTATTTATTTATTGATTTATTTATTGTTAGAGGCACCAGCGCCTCTAAATGAAAACAAACTGGAGCAAAGACAAAACTCAAAGGAGCACAGTTATTTCTGCACAGCACAGAATCTGTTCATTCCTTTCAAGCTTTTGAAATGATCCAATCTGCTTATTAATCAGAATCCTTTCAGACCTCTTGTTGAATCTATCTCAGTTTAGTCTTCAGCTTTAGAAAGTTAGTCACCATTAATGACCAACCAGGAAAACAAAAAACACAACCTCTGAGAAAAATTGAAGGTGAAAAACGCTTTGAGTTATTAATGATTAATCAGTTATTAATCAGTGTGTGGGTGTTTTTATCAGCACGACAGTCAGTGCTGATAATCCAGAACCAGAGGATCGCTGTATTGAAAAACCAGTCATTGAAAATAAGACAATTAAATAGATCATAAGAGACTGTAAACATGAAGATCCTACTGATGTTAACTTTTTTATACTGAAATTCATTCGATCATTTCATGTCCTACGTTAATAAAGCTGCAGGAGAAACTGGGCCCTAAAACAGTTTCAGCTCAGACTGGAAAAAGGCATTTTGCTGATAACCTCCACTGACGCACACCTTTAAATATTATTGTATTGATTTGACGTTTTATTTTATGTGATCAGTATGTTTTTATTTCATTGCACATGACTAATGATTTTAATATTAGAAAAGAAGCTTTTAACAGAAGTACATACTGTAGATTGTTGTATTGTCAAATGCTGCTGTGGCATGATATGCATCCAGGATTTAAATAGTGTTCATTTAAATTAAGATTAATTAAGTGGTGTCTAGTGTTATTTGTCCTCTATTGTTAGATTTAGTCTTAGTTCTGAGATAACAAGTCCATGTTAGTTTAAATCATATTCAGTCAGCTTCACCCTTATTTCACTTTTAGTCAGTGTTTACTCGACTAAAACCTTTAGTCTAGTTTTAGTCAAGACCAATTAATCAAGAACTGTTAAGTCTGGAAAGATGCTACAACATTAGCAAATCCAGTGCAGTCTAATTCTTCAATACGATTCAATCAAAAAAGTAACCAGAAGTAAGAAAACCCTTCAAAATCAAGAAGAACCTTGTACAACACCTCGCAATAAATCCCATTTTACTGTTCAATATCAGTGGAGTGCAACAATACAAAAAACCTTGCAGTCTTCAGCACAGTGCAGCAGAGCAGAGCTGCTGTGGATTCTTAATGTGTCAGGTCTCAGTACCTCTGCTGACTCATCAGACTCAGGATCGTTTCCTTGGTCAAATCCAAACAAATGACTGTGTCGTCACCACTGCAGGTTTCCTACAGGTTACTGAGCTCTTTTACCTTCTCATTACACCATGTTTTACTGGTTGTTTGTTTGTTTTGGTTTTTTTTCATTTCGTCCAACTGGTCAGCAGGTATCACTGATTGTTACCATGGAAACAGCTGTGAAACTATTTGTGAGTTAGTATATCCTCAACACTGACAAGGCTGGACATATCAAGAATGTCTGCCTCTCCCCTCATCAGTTATGTTTGAGTGTCTGAGTGGTGAAGCTCGCTGCTACTCTGTGCTTCAGATGTGCAAAAGTTGGCTGCTTGTACTTTAATAAACACGTCCACTCATTGAAAAGCTCTGGTAACAACTCCTCTTCTTCTTCAACAGGCTGCGATGAAGAATAAATCTAATCTGACCAGCATGAAGGGAGGACGTCTGCACCCAAAACAAGCCACAACCCTGCTGAAGAGATACCCCAACATACGCACCGAGGTCTAGGAAGCCAACTGTTCGAATGCATGTGTTGTATGGACTCAATGTGGCTGTTGGACTGAGTCATGGAACTGGGTTTCCTCACTTTAAGGTGTTGTCAGCTGCTGTATGAATGAACAACGCGGTACCATATACATTTATTAAATAAATTAAGCCAGGAGCAGAACACTGAGAAGGCAGATTTCAACACACACACACACACACACACACACACTACTGCTGCTTCAGTATGAAACTTCAGGTTTCCTAAGGTTATTTGCAGACCAGTTTTCTGTTACAGCCTTTGTTTTCACAACATATTGTGTTTTATGGTTTGAAACATAATGTGACTTTCTCCTCTTGTCCTGAATTGACTCTGATGAAAATGACGCCATCTTGTCTCAACCCAATTTAGCAGAGTGGTCTCATTCAGAGCAGAGATGTTATTAGTGGATGTGATGGAATTATTCGTCTTGGGTTTCATGGCTCCTGGCCGGGAACTCACCATTATCACTGAACGCCGAAATGACTCATCACTCCTGTGGAAGCTGAGATGGTGGTTAACATCAGCCTATCAGACAGACAGGGTCACACGGATCACCAATAAGCGAAGCTCGGTGTGGTTGATGTGGAACTTCCTGAATGGATTTAAACAGTTTTTGATCAAATCATTCATCAGTTTCTCATTTTCTTTCTTCCTCTGATTGTGTCCCAGTTCCAGACTTTACAGAGTCTGTGGTGTGTTCACACTCTGAAATTACAAAATTTAATAAACTAAAAATAAAAAATTTGTATGACTTTTAAGAAAATGCAGATTTTGGAGTGTGCCATTGATGTACAAGATAAGAGCAACTGACAGCTTCATAAAGTTCCTGGAAAATAATTTTTTTCTTTTTGAAGTTTAACTGAAGTTCAACGTTATTCCAAAGTTTGACTGATGCACAGTATGTCTTTGCATGTACTGTGACCATTTTGAAATAAAATCGGACAGTTCTGTTTGAATATATGGTTCGATAAATATCTTGGCAGGCAGAACTACTTCTCCAGGGTTTAAGGGAACCCAGTCCAGTGCAGGCACACATGTACTTTAATATTGTTCAATTACACAACAGTGTTTACTGAAGTTAGATAATATATGAGATTTTATATTGCTAATGAAATGACAAGCCAACATTGGAAACAGAAGGGCGCTATCAGCTAGCTAACATTAGTTAGCTAAACTGTAACTAACATTGACATCCATCTGTAGACACTTGACACACTCTAATTCAGAAACTTTGAAGGTAAGAAAGTAAAGTGTATTAAACAAGCTAGATAGTTAGCTACTGCTACTGACATTTACCAGAGACTTGAGGAGGGAGCCACTGATGTCATGAGGCAGGCAGACAGACGTTACAGTCCAGTTTTGGGGTGTCTAAAATCGTATCAAGATTCTTCCAGGCATGAATATGAGAAATATATTTAATTTTTATAATTACAGGAAAGTAGGATATATAAATATCCCAATATAATATAATGAATATAATATAATACATATCATTTATAGGCACCTTTCATGGCACTCAAACACACCTTAAACACAGTAAGAGAAATATACAGCAACAGACTAATCCAACGATATTAATATTATTGCCTAAAATAAATGTGATTGCATGGAATGGTAGCCTGGAGTCAAACAGAATAGGGAAGTTTGAAGGGGCGTGTTTTAAGGTGGGATTATATTACAGGTGTCTTGTGGAAGTGAGTTCCAGAGGTGAGGGGCAACATGGCTGAAGGCTCTAAAGCCCATGGTGGTCAGACAGGCAGGAGGAACAGTGAGATTAATGGAAGAGGAAGATCTAAGAGTACAGGCAGGTGTGAAGTAGATCAGAGAGATACAGAGATGCAGGTTGTGAAGTGACTTGAAAACGAGAATCTTGAAATCAATACAGTGTTTAACAGGAAGCCAGTGCAGTTGCTTTTGTTGTTCTTTTGAAGCACATGCACACCCTCTCTCATGATGTTGTTCACTCCCTTATGATAAAGGATACTGTTGATATAATTAGGCGTAGCAATATAACAGGCGTAGTTGTTAACTGTTGCTTAGCCTCTGGCACTGACCCCACATTGTTAACAATTAAGCCTTTGCTCAAAAACAATAATCTCCATGCTAAATGTTTTAATTAGTATCAGCCAATGGTATCCTGAATACCAATGAGATTCTTGATCCATTTCAACCTGGGTTCACAGCACATGACAAGGTGATAAATGACTCTCTCTTGACTCTGGGGAAATGTCATCTTGTGCTGCCTTCAACACTGTGGATCATGGCGTCATTTTGAGTCATCTCAAATGGTGGGTTGGTTTTAAGGTTACAGCACTAAACTGGTTTAAATCCTGTCACACATACACCGATCAACCACAACATTATGACCACTGCAGGTGAAGTGAGTGACAATGATGATCTCGTTACAATGGCACAGTGGGTGGGAGGTGTTAGGCAGCAAGTGAACATTTAGTCCTGGAAGCAGATGTATTGGACGCGGCAAAATGGGCGGCATATGGATCTGAGCGACTTTGACAGGGCATCTCCAAAACTGCCGGTGGTTAGTACCTACCAAAAGTAGTCTAAGGAAGGACAACTGGTGAACCGGCGACAGGGTCATGGGCGCCCAAGGCTCATTGAAGTGCATGAGGAGAGAAGGATAGCCCGTGTTGTCCGATCCCACAGAAGAGCTACTGTAGCACACACTGCTGAAAAAGCTCCATGCTGGTTCTGATAGAAAGGTGTTAAAACACACAGTGCATCGCAGCTTGCTGTGCATGGGGCTGCATGGCCGCAGACCAGTCAGAGTGCCCATGCTGACCCCGATCCACCGCTGACATCAGAACTGGACCATGGACAAATGGAAGAAGGTGGCCTGGTCTGATGAATCACATTCTCTTTTACATCATGTGGACAGCCGGGTGCGTGCGCTGCTCACCTGAAGAGGAGATGCTTGGGATATTCTTTCTTTTTATGCTTTATTTTCATTAACTAAATGGAAGTATAAGGACAATTAGCCAGTTAGCTTAGACTGTGGTCATGCCTCATGGATCCTGTCATATCTTGTTATATCATGTCATGTCATAACATATCATATCATATTATATCATATCATATCACACTAGAAAGTGGACTATCATGAATTCCTAGTTGAAGTGCATTCACCTGCTAACCTTACACTTTGACTCAAATATGATTTTGAATACAGGACATTTACTTAGAAGTAATTTACATAGAAGTAACAGACCTACACTGGCATGAGGAAAGTAAAGCTACTTCCCTGTTGAAATGACCTGAAATCTTTTGGTCACATGACCATATATGATCAGGGGTCTTTTCATTCACAAAAAACATATTTCAACGCTAGAGTAACACACACACTGACTCAGGTGGATTTTTTTTTGTACTTTTTATAAGAGCTTGGCTATCATCCCCCCTGCTTCCAGTCTTTGTGCTAAACAGGCTTAACTAGATTTAGTAGATACAGATGGCAAACATAAAATTCATATCACTGCCATCAGCTTACTGGAGAAGACAAGAAGCCTGTTTAAAGTTGGATTGTTCTTTTGATGTTTCATGCTTTTTTATTGACCTACCTCCCATTTTAATTCTTTCCCACGGTTCTTGGTTCCACACTGTGTTTTCTTGCACTCAGTTTGTTTCTGGCAGAAATATTGACGTTGTGCTAATGATGTAAGTGTGGATTTGGCTTCATGTTTTGTCTGAAGCGCAGGAAGGATTTTGTGCTATGTTTGCACCCACCATTGTCAGAATGTGAAGCTTTTGCTGTGTCCCCGTTTATCTGCCCGTCATTACAGAGAACCATTTCCCCGCCCTGCTTATCACTTCCTCCCAAATGTCTAGACCACAGAGGAAACTCCATCACAGCCCGCAGCAAATCACTCACTCACGCTTATGTCTTCAGTTTATTCACTCCTTCGTACCACATTGAACAGGTTTTAATTTCTCCTTGTTGTCTATGTAAAGCTGAGTTATTAAAAGAAGATGATTAGACTGATGTTCATCTCACAAAACTGTAAGTTCATGTTCACTCTAGCACCACTGACAACAAAATATCAGGATAGAATTTTTATTTTCAGATCCTTAGTACTGGTGCTCCCGAGCATACACACACCACACCACAAGAGCAGTTTACAGTTTAAATCTCAGACACCGTGGAAAAAATGGAGGGAATGGGTCGATCTAGAATTATTGATATTGAAGAAATGAATGAATGACTTTTGACACCTTGGTGGTTTTCAGCTCTATATTTGAACCAGATGAAGGATTTTAGTCGTCGGACGTCTGGATCTGAAGTTATCAGAGAAACAAGCTGAGGAAATGTTAGACAGCTCAGCTCCCAGCTGCTGGAGACGTCCTGTCCTGTGTCACTGAAGAGCGTCAGTGAATCTTTGAGTTTTAAAGTCAAACTGCTTTCTGGGTGTTTCTACTGGTTTTAATCCCCTGGTGTGTTTGTTGTGGAGAGGAGGACACCTCTGTGGAGAATTCAGCTGCTGGTAAAAACCTGCTGAACGTCTGCTTCATAAGTTATCAGAGAAACAATACAAACAAAGGTTAGCATCAATCTTAGCACCAGCTCTTCCCTGAGTCTCGGTCCTCCGTACAGCGTCGCTCAAACACTGACTTTAAATGTCAAACTGCTTCATTCAGTGTTTTTGACGGTTAGAATCACCAGGTCTGTTTGATTTCCTGAACCACTGACTGAAGGAATCCAAACCAGGAGGAGCTTACTGAAATAGCAGTGAAGACAACAACTCTCATGATCCCACACTATTTCATGACGTCACCCAACACCATCTTTCGTTATTGATTTGATTGAGAGAGCGCTAGAGGCAGAAGTTACAGACTGCGTGTTTAACAGAACTGGACTGATTTATCATACAGACACTATCTGTTGATTCTGTGTCCATTTCCACCACTGCATCAATTTCACAAGTGGATTCATCAGTCATGGGGAGAATGATTCAGCCAATAAAAACAGTCTTATGAGGCTCTAGAGGAGAACCATCAACTCTTAACTTTCACTTCTGTAATCTCCTCTTGGGTTTGAAGGCTACAGGTTTATAAATGTCTGCATTACAAACTGGAGGTGTTGGTATTTAGGAGGCAGGGAAGATCTAATGACATGCTATTGAGTTGCATTATGGGGAATGTAGGATCTAGTGTTTTGCAGCTTGACTCATAGGAACTAAAAGTCAGGATATGACCACTCTGTCATAAGTCTAACAACTTTATGTTAGTACAATACTAAATCAGCAAATTACTCTCTTATATCCATCCTTACATAAGAGAGGACATAGGTCTAAACTGGGCAACTGCACATGTGTAATGTGACCCCACTACTGGTACAGGACAAATACAGATACAAACCCTAAGAATACAACACCACTGGCCTATTGTCGGTTCTGTTGTAAACATGTCAGGCTGCAGACATTTACTCCAAGTACTGACCTGCAGAGCTGCACAAGATAGACACTGATACATAATAATACTACACCCAGATCTAAATCTACTCAGTATTTTTTATTGTACAGTATGTTGTTCAGTAGCAGCTTATTTGATTTACCCTCCAAAACGTTTCAGTAAACAAGACATGAAGCTAATCACTAGCAGCCTTTGAAAACCATCTCAGGGCCTGGGGGTGTTCTGTGTTTTGTTGGGCCCCTGTAGAGGCCTTGTTGGGATTTAGTCACAGAAAATTCTCAGCTGTTTCAGCCGGATCTGTGAAAATGTTGCTATCTTTGACGTTCATCTCCTGAGTCAAGAAAGCATCTGAGGGCTAAGCCCCGAGAGGCGCTGAAAGGTTCTGATAATACAATTGAGATGGAGCTTTATGATCATCTGTGTTTGTGAGAGATTACCAGAGAAAACAATCAGTCTCTCAGAAGTGACCCATTGAAGCGCAGCCAATCAGGAGTTATTATCTGGAGAGAAATCATGGCCGTGCTCTGCTTATCTCCATTTGACCTTCAGCCTTTGGGCAGTGTGATAGTGACAGGACTTTATTTTTATTTTTATGAATTAATAATTAAACAGTAGACCTACCACAGACCTCATCCTCCAAAATGATCCCAGTGAAGTGAACATTATAACCTCACTGAAGGAGGATTTATTAGTTGGAAAAAAACACAATTTAAACACAGGATCCAGAAGCCAGGTCAACAATTTTTCATCTGTCACAATTCAAAATGCTTAAGTCGATGGTTAATGGATAACTTAAAATGTCAGCGGTAACAATAATAAACTAGCTGACATTACTTCCACTTATTTAATTTATGCATCCACCATCTCTTTCTTTGTGTTAAACAAAGGAATCTAATGGAACATAATACATATACACATTTAAAAGCCATCCAGCAACAAAAGGCTAATCAAATAATTGATATAGTATCAGCCAAATAAAATAACATGAGGCTTGAAAAGTCCATTCTTCAACAGCTGTTCTCTTTTAGTGCAGCAGATAACTGCAATGATCTTTCAAATGTGGATGCAAGCAGCAGTATTGCTATGTTTCTCCCTCTGGGGCCATGCATTTGAAGAATCCCATTAACTACTTGAAATTTCAAACGGTGAGGCAGGGTGTTAGACTTGTAACTGAACAGCACCTAATAAACTGGACTGTACATCTCTTGTCAGATTGATGAGGAGCTCATTGGCTGTGCTTTTCTTTTTTACATGTTTGAAACGTTGAGTTTGAGGAGGATTAATCTCTGTCCAATTCAGAAGTCGTGAGTCATTGGTATTAAAGTCAAAGTCAAGTTGAGAGTTGTTGTTGTGGTTGTACAGGGGGAACATGCTCAGTGTGTGTTACTGTTTTTACGCTGCTTTTTTCAGAGTCATAACTTGAACTTTTCCTCTGCTGCTCTTCATGCGGTCTTCAAGGACCTCAGGGCTTGTCTGTACTCTGCCACATGGCAGCATTCAATTATGTTTAGACTAACGCTGTTATTTATCTGGCACCTTAAGACGGACTGTTAGAAGGTGTAAAGACGGATTATTTCCATTTACATAATGTCACTGATGCAGTATGAGAGCTTCACACCTTTGATTTACAAGAGGAGCAGCTTTGAAATGTCAGAGCGAGGCCTCTCTGTGTGTGCATGTGTGGTCTGGGTATTACTCATGTTGTGGGGACCTAAATCGATTTACACATTTTGATTATGGGAGCTTAACTTCCTTATGGGTAAAAAACCAAGTCCCCAGATCATTAATGAAGACCTGCTCTACGGTTAGCTTTAGGTTTAGGTTTAGCTTTAGATTATGGTTTAGGTTTGGATTAAGGTTTAGGTTTAGATTAAGGTTTAGTTTTAGATTATGGTTTAGGTTTAGATTAAGGTTTAGGTTTAGATTACGGTTTAGGTTTAGATTATGGTTTAGGTTTAGGTTTATCTTAAGGTTTAGGTTTAGGTTTAGATTATGGTTTAGGTTTAGATTAAGGTTTAGGTTTAGATTATGGTTTAGGTTTAGGTTTAGGTTTAGATTATGGTTTAGGTTTAGGTTTAGATTATGGTTTAGGTTTAGGTTTAGATTAGGTTAAGGGTTAGGGGCACTTTAAGGAAGGTTTGGGGAAGTAGCCTAGTATTTATGGTTAAGGTTAAAATAAGTATCCTGGAAATGAATGTAAGTCAATGTAATGTCCCCTGTCATGGAGATAGACTGTGTGTGTGTGTGTGTGTGTGTGTGTGTGTGTGTGTGTGTGTGTGTGTGTGTGTGTGTGTGTGTGTGTGTGTGTGTGTGGTGTGAGAGAGAGAGAGGGGGGGGGGCGAGAGCGAGAGAGAGAGAAAGAGAGAGAGAGAGAGAGAGAGACAGAGAGAGAGAGTTATGTCCCTTCCTCGACAACAGCGCGTCATTTTTAGCTCTGGAGCGGGTTGGATGTCTGGAGTTGAGTTCAGCGCGGACCTCAGCCGGAGCCGGTGTCTGTGTGCGCGTTTCCCCGTTTAGTTTCTTACCGGCCGGAGAGGAGAGCTTGTCAGAGAGCGGGTGGAGGTGGTGAAGGTGTGTGCGGAAGGTGTGGAGGAGATGGTTTCTTCGGCAGGATGGACCGGAGGAAAGTCGTGCCCGGGTTCGTCCCCTGTTGCCTGTTACTGGTCCTGTGTGTCTCTGCTGAGGTAAGCGGGCTGCAGCCTGATGTTTACAATCTGACATTTAGACCAGGTTTTGTCACATTTGTGTGTCACGGAGGATTTTGAGCGCCCATCTGATTTAGCGCCATGGGCTATAAGTGAACTACAGAACTGTAACACCTCATGATTCTGTCATCCCATAATCTCTCTATAGGAAGTTTCCTGAAAATCACTTTTTAGCTTTATAATTGAAAATAGAAGGAAAATAGAAACAATTATCTGGGTCATTGTGTTCAGTAAACTGTGTGTAGCACTGCTGATTTCCAGAGGCAATAAGGCAACAAGTTCATCACAATTACTGAACACACACACACACACACACACACACACACACACACATATATATATATATATATATATATAAAGATTAGATAAGATGTACCTTTATTGATCCACCATAGAGGAAATTCAAATTTGACATGAAAGAATAGCACGAGGGGAAAATGTAATAAGAAACAAAATAAGAATAGAAATAGAATCTAAAACAAATGAAATAATTTAGAAATACTTTATACAATAATAATATACAGTACAATGCGATGTAGGCTGTTCTGTACACGTGCAATATAATAATAAAACATAAAAAAAACACAGATACAGATATACAAACCTGTGCATGTAGACTCATTCCACAGATTCACATGCTCAGACTATCAGGTCTTTGACTGAAGGTATGATATGACTTTAGCAATTTCACTCTCTCCATTGTACCTCTTATCACCTGATTATTCCCGCCCTGTTACCTTTAGAAAGAAATCTGCATAAACCTGGAGGCCTCCCAAACTTTAAACACGTCAACTGACACATAGATCCACACCTGATACCTCACACTTCAGTCTTTTCAGTATGAATAGATAAATATAACAACTCTGTCAAAGTTTAACAAGGAGATAAAGTTTGACTGATCACTTGTGGAAACCACAGGTTGGTGCTTACCTTTCGCTCCATAATTCATTGCTCACTTAAGATTTTATTTAGTCTTCTCTCTTTAGTCAGACTCAGATAACAACACATTGAAGAGTATTTACCACAATTAGAAATAAACATGAACAGTTTACATGGTCAGTTTCCAAAGAGGGATCAGAACTGACTGTTTTGTTTGCTCCAGGATCTGTGGATTGTCCCTCCCTGAGTCATACACATTTTACTGCCAAGCAGCCTGAGCTCTGCATAAACACACGGACCGAAACGTTTCACAGTCAGATATTTGAGTGAAGGTGTTGTTGCATCAGATGAGCTGGCCTAAGAAACAATCGTTTTATTGTAGAAGATAGGGAAGAAAATGAATGTAAAGAGGGGGATATTAACATATTAACACAGACAGACTGAGCAACAATATGTTACATATGTACATCCAGTCCAATAGCGATATGTAAATATAGTCAGGATACATGAACAGCAGGTATATTCAGTCTTTTGTGTGTGAAGACACAGCATCGATGCATAAATTACAAAAATTTTCCAAAAACTGCATTTACAGTGCAGCCTGTCAGGTGTTCATATCTGGGTGAACAGTATATCTAGCAATCAATCAATCAATCAATCAATCAATCAATCAATCAATCAATCAATCAATCAAGCAATCAATCAATCAATCAATCAATCAATTAAATTGTACAGCACTTTTCATACAGGTTAGTGCAGTTCAAAGAGCTTCACAGATGAAAAGAAAAGGACAAATCAAATAAGAAATCTGACAGTGAGATGCAATAAAATAAATTTAAAAAGCTACAATTAATAAACAAACAAATAAGAAAATTAACAAGAATAGAACAGATGAAATAGAATAAAATACAATTTACAAAATAATCAGGATAAAATAAGTGAATAAAATAAAGTGACTAATGACTAAAAAGCATATTTAAGAAAAGCCAGGCTGAAGAGGAACATTTCGAGTTTACATTTAAAGCTGCTCTCAGGTCAGATTGTTCCACTGGCTCGGAGCATAAAAGCTAAAAGCCGCCTCACCACAGGTTTGAGTCCTGCGCTTCAGAACAACCAACAGACTGGTACAAGTGGACCTGAGGGGCCGTACTGGTTCATATAGTGTCAGCATGGGGGACATATCTGCCGGTGCAAGGGCTTTAAAAACAAAGAAAAGGATTTTAAAATCAAAACAGAAGCTGACAGGAAACAATGTAGAGACTTTAACACAGGTGTGGTGTGTTCTCTCCTTCTGGTTCTGGTCAGGACTCAAGGCACCAGATTGCGATTCAGCTGCAGCTGGTTTATGATGTTTCTGTGGAGACCAGATAGGAGAGCATTACAATAGTCAAGTCTGCTGGATATGAAAGCATGCAGTACTTTCACAGTGTCACTCAGAGATGATGAACACTCATAATCAGGATACGAGAGCAGAGGCTATATTCAGTCTTTTGCGTGTGAAGACTCAACATTGATGCATAAATTACAAACATTTTCCAAAAACTGCACATCTATGCATCTACAGTGCAGCCCAGAGGGATTTTAAAGAGTGGACTGCACCACTACTGGGTGAGGAGTGTAGGACATGTCCTTCTTATGCATTGCCCTGAAGTGTTGGAAGACATCCCTGCAATCTTCCTTGCATTTACTGCATGTAAACAGCCTCAAGGTCAACAAATTCAAGGTGTGAGTCAGCACTTTAAGATCACAGTCAATGTTTCATTCACTGGTCCAAGGTGCTGGAGAACAGAGAAGACATAAAATATGTCTGAATACTGACTGCCTATTTATTCATTCAGTCACTGGTGGTTGGTCTGCTTCATACTATCAGCAGGTCAAAGTCTGCATTCATTTTTATTCATATCACATCGCTGCAGATATGTGTGTGAGTGACACACCACAGCTGAACAGCTCCCTCAGGTAAGAGGTTGTTTCGGATACAAGCCTCTAATCCCCCACACTCCAATCAAATCCAATGAAATTATGTACAAGAAACTAGCCTGCCATATTAAACCTAAACCCAGAGAACACACAGTAGCTTACCTAAATATCTACCACAAGATGTGAACACAGGATTTTCATTTACTAGTTGGGGGGCCCTCTGGTGGCCCTGTGGCCCCAGGCAGCTTCTCAGCTTGATTATACCCCAGATGGCCCAAGTATTCCCCATCAGCATATGATAAACCAATGTTGATTAGTAGCACCACTAACACTCAGTAATAACCTGCCTTCATTTTTTTTGAAGTTTACTCCATGTCCTGTATGTCACACTGTGTCACATACAGACATCTGTGACTTACTGTATTTAAATCCAAAACAGATGTTCATGTCCATGCAGTGTGTGTTCGCCTCATTAAATGCACTACAGTACCTGCACTGTAACTGAAAGAGTACGGTGGCCCTGAGAGCTCAAAGAACTGCAACTTAACAAAACACATGCAAACAGACAAAAACTCTCTCTCTCTCTCTCTCTCTCTCTCTCCCTCTCTCTCTCTCTCTCTCTCTCTCTCTCTCTCTCTCTCTATATCACAGTCACTTCAGAATAAAGGCAAAAAATAACTTTAAAAAAAGGAATAAAAGTGATGAGCTTGCTGAGATGCCCTTGCATGGATGTATTATAAAACATCATGTGCACTTGTTCAATGCTTTTAACTTCAAAAGTCACAAAGTATTGCTCAGTGCATGCCAGCAGGCTCATCAGTTTTTAGTGTCCCCCGGAAACACTCGTGTTGTGCTGTGAGTATCTGCAGCTCATGTGTTGTCACATTGATGAAGATGTTTTCTGAAGTTCTTTGTGTTTTGTCTGTTTACATGTGTTTTCTTATGTAGCAGTGTGTTGAGCTCTCAGGGACGTTTTTTGATCATGATTTTTATTTCATCTCTTCTATCCTGAATTTATGTTTAAGCAAATTTCATACAAAAGGCTACAGATACGTTTGCTCACCGCACCTTGAACAGTGTGTACTTGACTAAATCTTGCCTTGTTCAGACCCGACCTGAAGACACAATGCAACAAAATCAGAGCAACATAAAAAAAGAGGAAAATCTTAGTGGCGCTCCACACGTACTGCAGCTGCTGCTGTAAGTAGGAAATAAGCTTAAAGGAGTAAACAACCACAAACATTAAACAGATGGCTCTGAAAAGTGTGTAGCTTCCTCCTGTGTATGAAATCTGTCAGCTGTACTCAGCTTGGTTTCACTACAGTTCCAATGGACATCAACAGAGACTGAGTTTCACAGCAAAACATGTCAAAACATTATAACATCACACAGCTGCTGCAGCATGATCAACTTCTCCACTGATCGGTATGATCAATATGTTCCTGAGCGCCTTCCACCAGAGGTTTTCCATGTCCAACTGGTAGGAGACACCAGGCTATAGACTCCACACACACTGGACAGACTATATATCTGATCTGGTCTGGGAAAGCCTCAGGTTTCTGCAGGAGGAGCTGGAAAATACAGCTAGGGTGAGGGACGCCTGGACTATAACTTGCTCAGCCTGCTGCCACCACAACCTGTCCCTATCCCCAGCCTAAATATAGATATATATAAACATCTTCATCACATGTCCCAGCACTGACAGTGATAGTTCAGACATACTGTAAGGGAGTGAGTCTGAGGACAGGGGACTCAGCTTTGTGAATGAAACCTCATTATACACTGCTCACTGAAACTGGCTCAAGCTGGCATCAGTTGTACAACTAGTTTAACAACAAGGAAACTTCCATAATGTGGGCTCCAGGGTCTTCAGTGCCTTTGATGAAAGTTAGATTTATGGCAGGAAAACAGTGTAAAAGCTTTGCAGTATAATAAGAGTGTTGTGTTCTTCTTCTTCTTCTGAATCCTGATTGTTTCTTCCACAGGTCTCTGAAGGTGGACATTTGAATGCTGTGCAGAGTGCAGGTAAGAGTCATCTCAAACTCTTTATCCATGTGTGTGTCTGTTTTTTTTTTTTTTTGGGGTGGTGGGGGGGGGGGTGAACATCTACATGTCATGAGGTTTACTGAAATGTGTCATCTCAGCACTGGTGTTAAACCACACTGCTCTGTGGAAAAAAATAACTGGGTTTTTGAAAATGATTAAAAACCAGAAAAAAAGTCTTGTGCATAAAATAGGACATAGATTCTTAGTATCTTATACTCTTCAATGTAATGGATGTCCTGCCACAGACAAATAGTTCCACCATTAATATTAATGTGATGATATACTGTAATGTATATCATCACATTATTATTGTTATACTGTAATGTAATGTATATATACTGTGACGTTACCCAAAGGTTTCTGAAGAGCGGTTTTGAAGCTCAGAGTGAGCTTTTTCCACCGTCGCCATCTTGGCAGTGTCTGACTCCGCCCCTAACTCGCAGCTAATCAAAAAATGGTCAAAGAGGAGGGGCGTGTGTGGAGCCCTGACTTAGGCGCATTTCAGTTGATGGCAAGCATATGCTCACCCACCTGTCACTCAAAGAAGCCATGCCCTCAATTCTACATAACTTTAAGCCTTAATAAAATGTAAACTGGTTGAGTTATAAAAACAGTTGTCATGATGGAGGAAATTAGCTCTAGAAACCAAAACTGTTTTTGTACCAGGCTGTAAACATGTTTATTTCTGCTGTAAAGTTGGACATTTTAACATGCGAGAACTGCAGCTTTTGGTTCTTCAGTGTTGGCTTCGTTTTTCAGCCCCAGAGGTTGCTGCTTGGGTGGATCAGAGATTAAAGACACATTTCTAACAGGACTGATCATTGGGGACAGTCCCATATATAAGCCTATAAGCTTACATGATCCTCTGGGATAAAGACAATAGCTGCTCAGGTGATGACTGTTGTTGAACTGACTGTTGTTGAACTCTGATTGTTTCTTTATGTTTTGTACATGAGGACCTTCATTAACTGCCTCAGGTTATGAGACTGGACTGATACGTTCTATGAAGTTGGTTCACATGTAAAACACACCACGTTGGTCTGGTGGGCAGATGGTGGTTTAATAAGACAATGTTGCTGAAATGCAGGGAAGACACTTAATAGCAACCAGAAGCCCTGCCAACTGTAAAACTGATCTATAAAACTGCTTCCTGTGACTGGTTCACACACAAGAACCAGCCTGATTTACTCTGACTTTAGAGTCCTACAGTCAATTACTCAACACTGGCACAAGTAGGTTCTTGCCAATGCAGCTGCCAAAGCATATAATACTCAACAGTCAGCTCATCCATTTCCCAGTGAGTGTCTGACAGCTATAAAGTCAGTGGAACTTTTCCCATCAGTGGTGAAACCTCATTGCCATAAACCATGAAGCAAGACAGTCAGGTATTCTGCAGGGCCTCCACCGCTTTAACTGTGACTGTGAGCTACAGGCACATATGGCTTCACAGGCTGCTGGTGGTGGGGGTGAAAACATGCCATGACTGGAGGATGCTTAGGTGATGAGACAGAGACGGCTGCAAAGACCAACAGCATAAAGACGAGACTGTAGGCAGCAAACTAGATTAGACTGGCTGGTCAGGGTTAAGGATATCCAGAATTATGGCACGACTGCAAGGACAGAAACAGTTTGACCTAGACAGAGGTGAGAACCTGTGACTATTGCATTCACAGTTTGTCTTGAATCCATATTTTCCTCTTCTCCAGTGATTTATTTTGAAGTGTTGATCCATAAGAAGATATATTTGTGGTTTTAAGAACCAAAAAACATCTCAGTGTAGTTTTACATCTCCTCTCTCAGGCTTCTCTCTGGAGCTCTAAGAACAGGTCAGTGAGCCAATCAGAAGAGAGGAGGCTCTGAGCCTCTCTTCCGATTGGCTGACTGCTTTCTGAGTGATGGAATAAAAATATAGCAGATTTCAGGTAAACACTCAGAGAAACCAAATCCTGCAAGGTTGGATGGTGGGTCCAGGTGGGCGGGGCTTGGCGCAGTGACTGCTTTGTTGTGGCATCACAAAGTTCCACAAGTCCTGACAGCTGGTTTTAAGGCTCAGTTTCTGAATACAGGCTGTGTGCATTTCTCTGTGGACTGAGGCTTTGATACTTTCACAGTATTATTATAGAACCTAGACCTGATCTATAATCACACAACACATGGACATCTACCTTTAGACTATATGGACCTTTAATGCAAGTGTAGAACCTAGATTCAAAGCATTCAATCACTGCTGATGTAATATTAGGATTGTTGGACACAGATAAACAGAAAAATAGCTTAATGTTGAAGTGAACACAAATCAACAACAAATCTCTACAAGCTGACCTTAATTAATTACAAATTACATTGAAATCATAATAAGTGATTGCATTAGATTATCATTTAACTGATGTTGGTGATGAGATTTGGTTCACAGTTGGTGTTCCAGTTCATCTTAAAGGTGTGGGATGAGGTGGAGGTCTGGGTTCTGTGCAGGGCAGTCAGGTTCTTCCATACCAAGTATTTATGGAACAAATTATCAAAATTGTAGACATAATTTCTGTATAGCCCTGAGTCTGTGTTTGCTTCACAACAAACATCATCACACCTCAGAAATTTCTCCCCTGCCTCTGTGTCGTGTGAGTTTTGCCATTATGACAGTTATATAGTATTGACAGATGTAAAAAAGAAGCATGACTCAAATAGGTTTAAAAAGTTTCAGTCAAACCCAGTGATAATTACTGCACAGAACAACAAGTCCTCCAACCTAAACAACCATTTACAGGAGGAGAGTCTCGTCAGCACCACAGAGAGGCAGGATTGACACCAGTGCTCAGATTCTCTAGTAAAAGTAACAAAATCACAATGTGAAACTCTCTGACAAGTAGAAGTCCTGCATTAAAGTGTTTACTTGTACTTTAAATAAAAGCAAAAACACTCATTGACAGTTATATTACAGTATATACATTACATTACAGTATATCAATAATAATGTGATGATATACATTACAGTATATCATCACATTATTATTGATGGTGGAACTTGAGGTCACTGTAGAGAGGTCTGCCATGAGATCGGGCGGAATTTAAAATTACATTTCAGAGTCAGTGTAGGAGCTGTTTCCCTTTAAGTAGCGCCAAGGTTCTTATTCAACTCTGTCTGACAGTATTATAAATATTTTTGTTCCTAATATTTACAACTATTTAAAACTAGATCCCGTTTTTTTGCCTCACCATTTCATCTGAGGGAAATATTCTATTCCAATATGTCTGCTGCATTATTTGAAACATTCAAGTGAATGGGGATGTGGTCTCAGACTTTTTCACCCCTCTGTATTTCCCCCAAAGCCATGATGGTGCAGTGGTTAGTACTATCACCTCACTTCAAGAAAGGTTCTGGGTTCAAACTCCTGTGCCTGCTGGTTTTCCTCCTACAGTCCACAGACCTGCAGGTTAGGTTAAGTGGCAACTCTAAAAGAGAATTGTTGTTTGTCTCTATATATCAGCCCTGTGCAGTCTGTCAGTCCTAGTACCTGGCCCTCCCCCACTGCCAGCTAGGATGGGCTCCAGCCGCCCTGACGGGGCTGAGTGCTATGGATTGATGGATGTATATTCCAAAAACTTCAGCCTGACACATCTGGTATCTTTAGACACCATCTCCACTAGATCTCCACTAGAATTAGAAATAAAGTTCTTTGGATTTGAACAGTGGTTGATTACACATCATGAGGCTGTAATGGCTGAGCCTGTCACAGTTCACTCAACAGCTCGACTGAAGAGGCAGATGTAAAAGTCTTTCCTTAGAGGTGAGTGGGGGCTGATTCTATGTGAAATGACAGCAGAATCAGAGCATGTATGCACAAACAACTGAATGAATGAATAAAAGGATGAATGACTGAAATTCAAAACCATGACAGACCCACCAGCAGGTCAGTGAGGTTAAAGAGTTTGAACTGACAGCTCACAGCTTCTTTCCTGTGTCTGCACTACAATTAAAACACAGTTTTCACTCAGATCTTTATATGGAAGATTTGTTTAAAATTGTATTTTCATTTAATGTTCAGATTGCTGGTACTATCATTGTTTTCATAAAAAAAAACTAGAATCACCTCCTCATGGTTGTCCATTTGTGTGACATTTTGTCATAATTACTGTGTGAAGTCTTGAGTAATGGCTAAAAAGTCTTTTGTGATGTCACACTGACCTTGACCTTTGACCACCAAAATGTAGTCAGTTAGTCCTTGAGTCCACATGGACATTTGTGCCAAATCCGAAGGGATTCCCTTCAGTAGTTCTCTAGATATTGCATTCACAAGGCCAAAATCATGTCTTCTGATGTCACCGGACCTTGACCTTTAACCTTTAGCCACCAAAATCTAATCAGTTTGTCCTTAAGTCCAGGTGCACGTTTTTACCAAATGTGAAGAAATTCCCTCAAGGCCAAGCACAAACAACCAGGTTTTTGTGAGATCACCATGCCTTTGACCTTTGACCTTTGAGCACCAAAATCTATGGCTGTCGCTGGATGAATTCTCAAACAGACACACACTGAACCACTTTTCATCAACATCCTGCCCCATGACTCATCACCTCCTGGGTGAATACACGGCTGTATACACACGACAGCAGAGTCAGCATCATTTGTGATCAGAGTATAAACAGCTTCAGAAACCCCCTCTCTCTCCACACCGTCGTACGACTCCTCGTACAAACCAGTTCTTCTCTGGAATCATTTATCTTCATACTGTAAAGCTTCACTAGTGGCCCCTAGAGGCTGTGATGTGCATCACACCTCACAATCCAAGTCCTGCTGTGATTCAGTGTTGGACAGACAAACCGTTGTGCTTTGTGTACAGGCTTTTAAAGAGAGAGGAAGTTGGTTTGTAATAACAAAGAAACAGTCATGATTTTAACTAAATTTGTCTTGTCTGTGTTTTGAATTACAAATTCAATTTAATCTAATTCTTTCTTACAACTCAGAGCTCAGTGTTTTGTTGTTCTTCGTGTAAGGTGATTTAGTGAATACAGACTGTGTGACTGTGTCTGCAGCTACACTGTCCTGTTCAGAAGGCTTTGAAGAACTGGGATACTACAATGGCTCAGTTTCCCACACGGACTCAGGCTCCCCCTGTCTGAAGTGGACAGACTTCCCAGACTACATGCGGCAGTACCCGGGCCGAGGCCTTGGAGACCACAACTTATGCCGAAACCCGGACCAGGAGGCCAACCCCTGGTGCTTCTTCAGGCAGAGCTCTGGTGCCATCGGCTGGGCCTACTGCGACTGCCAACAATCAGGGTGAGCTGGGGGGGGGGGGCTCCAGGTGTCTGAGGATGGATGGATGGAGCCTGTTGTCTCTGATGGGGAGGTGTGGCTTGTGATATGCTGTATTAGAACAGGGTTACTTGTGGAAATTCTTCCTGTGTCTTCTGCAGGTGCAGCCAGATTGGTGGGGGGGTCATCAGGCATCAGCGGGCGTCTGGAAGTCTACCTGAATGGCCAGTGGGGGGCAGTATGTGACACACACTGGACTGACCGAGATGCCAGTGTCATATGCAGACAGCTGGGACTGGGGTGAGGACAGTGTCACACGCTCAGACACATGTCTTTGGGTTTGTGGTTTTTTGTCTGAAATGCTGCTGTAAACAACACCAGCATGTGGGGGCCTCTCATTCAGTTTTTCCACTGACAGATTTTTATTCACAACGTTCAAAACAAATGTTACAAACAACTTCACTGATTGGCCTCGTACTAAATATTATGACTTGCGACTGGTCTGACCCTGGTCTGAAAATGAACTTTGTTTAGACACAGCGACACAGTCCCCCTGATCTGATCCCTTATTGCAGTGGTAGAATGTAACTGAGTACAGCACTGGAGTTAAATATAAACTTGTACTTAACTCAGTTAAATAAAATGAAATACAAATATAATATGATGGGTTGAAATTACTTTACAGGAAATTAAGTACTTTAAATTAGCTCCAGTTCAACCACATACAACAGTAAATACTATATACTGTACACAGTGATGCAGTAGTTTTCATAATTATAATACTTTTGAGTGGTGCCTGGTACAATATGTATGTATATACAGTATGTATGTACAGTATATATATATATATATATATATATATACTACTCTGCATAATGAGTACTTTGACGTTATATATACTGTATATATACTATTCTGCATAATGAGTACTTTGACATTATATATATTGTATATATACTTTCAGTATATTGTTATTAAACCTAAACAGATCAACTGAAAGGTCCCATACTGTCACTGTTATACTGTCACCTTCAGTGTCAGTGACATCACTGAGCACTCATGGCGTAGCTACAGAGACAAGCATCCTGTAGACACACTATCACATCAGGGCTACAGAGATACTGACACCGATTCAAGACCTGTGACGTAGCCTGAGCTGTTGTTGTCTGATGGTGGTAGAGAGCATTGAGAGTGAAAACAGCATGAAGCAAGTTGAAGAAAGGCTCAGTTATATCTAACGAAAACATCTCCACTGCAGCAGCAGTTTCTCATGCATTCAGGACAGAGGGAGAAGTTACCCGCATGTAACTCCTGTACTGTAGCTGTATATCACGAACACAGTCACTGTGATGAGTACGATTTAAATCATGATCAGGCCTGATCATGTGCAGTACCTCTAGTGTTGTGGTGGTGCTGTCAGCGGATGAAGTCTGATGCTGATCTATAAGTGAAAACCACAGGACTCCTGTTAATCCCTTGCATCATGTATAAAGCCGGCTCCAGTCCCCACAGGTCACTGAGGGTGGACACAGTGGGCCCTGCGTCCAGTGCTCAGTGACTTTTCTCACCCCAGGCTTAAAGCTGAATAAACTAAATTACACACTGAGGTTGGACCTTATAGACTTTGGAAGTCACCAGCTGTTCTTTTCAGTAAGCTACCACTGTGTTTTCTATTTTCGCTGTGTAGTTTGTTGTGGCTTCTTCATTGGCCTTGTGTGATGTTTGCTTTGAGTGTGTGTGTGTGTGTGTGTGTGTGTGTGTGTGTGTGTTTAAAAGACAACTGTGTGTGTGTGTTTGATGTCCGTGCAGTGAGATTGGTACAGCCCTGCAACAATCCTACTTTGGCCCAGGATCTGTCTTCCACTATGAGCGTCTGGGTTGCCGTGGTAATGAGAAATCCCTACTGGAGTGCCGGAGCCGGAAGTTTGTCACCGGCGACTGTAACCATGGCAATGAAGCAGGAGTGATTTGTGCTGAACCTGAAGGTGAGACCAGGGTGTCTATAAACAAAGAGGAACAGATCAGAACAGACACATGTCATATAACCGCTCTGCCGGCCATATACAAACACAGTGCCCGGATTTTGTGTTGTTGCCGTTTCATGACTCCAACTGCCTCAGTCCTCAGTATTCCTTCAGCACCTAGTAATAGATTATAACAAAAAACAACCAACCAGAACTGGGCTTTTTTGGCTGTACTAGTTTCCTCCCAGTAGTCCACTTGTCGTTCAGCTCCCTTTCTCCTCAAACACCTGAACACTTTCTCAGGTACGGTAGGTCGTTCCAGCATCGTGGAGTACCTGCCTCAGGTCTTCTGTGGATTCGGTCTGTCTCAGTGTCTCTGTCTCTTCAAGTGAGACCTGACTGACTCCATGATGCTGAGATCAGGGCAGAGTATCTGCTCTTCTTTGCTTCTGAAGATGGTTCTTTATGACTGGTGCTGATCAGACGAAGAATCTAACCATCTAAAATGTCTCAAACCTTTGCACAGTACTGTAGCTCACTAAAATACACCAGGGGCCAGGGACATGCAGGTCTAAGAGCATGTGCCCACCAACACAGACACCCAGGGTCTGAGATCTTTCCATAAACAACACCATATTTGATCAGTACGTATATAATTAGCTCAGATGTTGCTTTGCCTTTTGTTTCTCAGGCACTGGCATCCCTCTGAGGCTGGTGGGAGGTCTGGAGGACTTTGAGGGCCGTGTGGAGGTGTACCGTGATGGCAGGTGGGGAACCATTTGCGAGGACCAGTGGGATGACACCGATGCCGAGGTGGTGTGCAGACAGCTAGGCCTCGGGTAAGAAATAACTGCTGCACAGAGAGTGTCAGATCAAACTGTGGCGCCTCGCTGGCATCTCTTCTCAATCCCTCTCGGTGCAGTGGTGTCAGTGAATACAGAGAATATAAACAGTCTACCTGCACACAGGCACACGAGACAATCGATAACTAAACTACCACTTTTAAAACTGGAAAAATCCTGTTTTCTGTTCCCAGCAGCAGAAAAGAATCAGCTGACATTTTAGATTTTGTTTTTAATGTCCCAATAATACATCTTGGATGTATTCTCCTGCTGGCTTTAAATTATAACTTCATTTGGCATTCTAACATTTTTTTTTTGTATTGCACAATTGCATGCTGGGTACTCTACATTGGCATAAATAATAGCATGTTATAATAAAAATATAACATTGTTGTGTGTAACTGACCTTGTGCTTCACATAAAAGGTGGTGTTTGTTTGTCCTGACCAACAGGGGCGTGGCCAAAGCATGGACATGGGCCCACATTGGCCAGGGTGTTGGTCCCATCTTACTGGATGGGGTCCAGTGTACAGGTAATGAGCTCTCACTGGAGGAGTGTCCTCATAACAACTGGGAGCAACACAACTGTGACCACATGGGAGACGCGGGCGTGTCCTGCAACCCACACACAGGTCAGAGCCAGCAACAACACACTGACTCACGTTCAGCTCAGAAGACACTGTAGCCATCACTGTGAGATGTACATGTGCTAAGTCTGTAGATTATATACATCAGCGCATTAGCATTGCGTTGCCATGCTAGTGTTAGCACATATCCTAAAGCATCACTAAGTACAGCCTCACAGAGCCACTAGCATGGCTGCAGACCCTTCGTTGTGTTGGTGTGAACATGGCTGAAAGCTTCTTTATGACGATTGTTCCAGTTTGACATAGATGACCTCCATCACCCCTCCATCACTCCTCCCCTCTCCTCACTGCTGTCCTCATTGTCCTTTAGATGTAGGAAGTCTGTTGAGTCTCGACCCGAGGAGGACTCCCAGACAGTCAGCGGATGAGAGGCAAAATGTCTAGTATGTCCAGTTTCTGTTGACTTAGCACTCGTAGATGTCCTGTGACCTGGACGACTGACAATCCCCCCCAGACATGTGATAGTGATCTGAACGGAGATAAAGGATGAGACGAGATGAGATTTGTCCTGCGCTCCCTGAGCATGTGATCTGTAGAGTGCAAGTGTTTTCCTGTGTGGTTGCAGACGGTGCAGTGCGCCTGGTGGGAGCAGACAGTCACTGGGAGGGCCGTGTGGAGATTTACCACCACGGAGAATGGGGCACAGTGTGTGACGACAACTGGACCGAGCTCAACGCCCAGGTAGTGTGCAGACAGTTGGGCTTCAGGTCAGTGCATTACTACGTCTGAGTCACTAACTCCTTTGTGCCGTACGGGTCATTCACACATAGGATTCAAAAAGCTGGGTCAGGAGATTTATGTTTATCCATCCATCCATCCATCCTGTTTTCTGTCTAATATCTTGGTCCTGGTTGTGGTGATGGCAAGGTAGTCCAGATCCCCTTCTCCTCTGCCAAGTCCTCCATCTAATTCCCTGGGATACACTGTAGTGTAAACCCTTCAGCATGTTTATGGGCCTGGATTACCAGGGTCCACGAGGCACCCTGATCAAATGCCCAAACCACCTCAAATGGCTTCACTGCTAAAGAGCAGCAGTTCTACTCGCTCATGCTCCCTACCTCCTACCTACCTACCCTCTCTGAGCTCCTCATCCGACCCTAAGAAACCCTGCAAGAGAATCACATTTTGTCTCATTTTTTGGGTCACTACCGATGATTATTGCTGAGTGTAGGAACATAGGTCAAATTGTAAATCAAATTCAGAAACAGCTTCTTCTCTTGGAAACATGAATGAGCTTAACAAATGTCACAATGATCTGCCAGGACATATTTTTTCTTTAAGTGGAAATTTTGGTGTGAGATTGGGATTGATTGAAAGGCCACAGGGTCACCACAGTCAACGGGGCTCATCCACTGGAGAGCGTAGTTACTTCTCATGTATTTCATTTGATCGGACAGACTCACACCTTTACTAGAAATCTGTCGGTGACTGGACGAACCCCTGTGATGATTCAGCTCAACTGTTTCGACTTGTGTTCTGAATTTACCATTTAATTAAAGTGACTGGATCCATGTTACTGTAGCTTTAGGTCTGATTAAGACTGAGATTAAGATTTGTCTTTTCATTTTCGGTCATTTCCCCATTTGAATCTGCACTTCAATGCTAAATTGCTAATTAAGTCAGTCGCATTTGGAGAAATCCTGTAATTACTTTGACACAAGCAGGAACCAAAAAACTGTCAAACAAGTGTGTGAACAAAAAATAGACTGGAGGGATATTTTGGGACAAGTGCTCCACACACAGACTAACCATCTGACATTACAATCAACAGATCTGATGATGATGTTACATGTCTTTACCAGCTGATTTCCTGATTGTTTCCTTCAAGCAGAGGATTTCAACAAACTGAAATCAGCCTGTAGAGGTTTAGAAATGTCGATGCAGAACCTGCAATGGCACGTGGTTGTATATCTCTGATCAGATGAAAATAAGACAAAAACATTTCATTTCTGAATGAAAACAAACAAAACTGAGTCAAAAACACTCTTTTTTTTATATTATTAGACACATACACACCAAAGAGCACTCCTGTAAATTCCATGACAGTGAGAACCAGCAGTGTGCATGAGTTTTTAAGTTCATGGAAAACCTCATTTGTATTCTTCATATTCTGGAGAAAATCAGTCTAATTTATACATTTCTGTTGCGACAGATCAGTCTTTTCTGCAAGTTGAATGAACCATGTAGCGAACCATGGGCATTTGCACAAAAGAGTTTCTCACATCTACCAGTGTGTCTGTCTCTCTCTTTTGTGTGGTCGTGTGTGCAGGGGCCGGGCGGAGGTGGCTCCTGACGGGGTGTATGAAGAGGGTCGAGGGACGATCCTGCTGGACGAGGTGCAGTGTCAGGGAACAGAGGCCGGTTTACTGGAGTGCAGCCACTCTGGGTGGCGCGACCACGACTGCTCCCACAGTGAGGACGTAGGTGTCCGCTGCGAAAGAGGAGGCGATACCAATGAGATACCAGGCCTGCTGCCTCCTGCTGGTCAGTGCACACACTCAACTGTCTTCTTTCTACTGAGGAAAGAAGTTTTCACACATATGAGATGTGCGTGTGTTCCCCTGTAAAGGCCACAACTCACAGGCATCTGAAAACCTCATGATTAACTAACATCAGCGCATCATAATGTTTTCCTGTGACTTTTGTTTGCAGGTCCTCTGGTGCGGTTGGTTGCTGGAGAGAGCAGGAAGGAGGGGAGGGTGGAGGTCTTCATTAACAGCCAGTGGGGAAGCGTGTGTGATGACGGCTGGAATGACATCAATGCAGCCGTAGTTTGTAAACAGCTGGGATTCACGTTAGTATGATATTACACCCTCTCTGATATTCTTCCCTAAGAAAGCTAAAAGCTCAGGAAGTGTCCACCAATTCAAAAACAACTGATGTGGTGCTTTTCACGTTAAGGTAATCATGACGATGAAAAAGCTGGTTCAGTTCAGCACAACCTGTTTTTTTAAACGTATAAGGGAGGGCTGGGTGATGAATCTCATTTTACTTTCAATTACAATTTTGTCTTCCAACGATTAGAAAAACAAGACAATCAAGATAAAACGATTATTGTGCCGCATCCTGTTTCACAACAAATCCCCCCCCCCCCCCCCCACAAAAACCATCCCCCACCATTATTTTTCTTTTTTTTTCATTGAATGGTATTTAAACTTGAAGAAAGTCCATTGTTAAAAAGACTAAAGTTATTCAATAGTCAAGTTCAATAAATGTATGGTGTTTCCAAAGTCAATGAGTAATCATGTTAAATAATTGTGATCGCAATATTGATCAAAACAATTGTGATTATGATTTTTGCCATAACCGAGCACCTGGACTATAAGGATGATTATATAAAGCAAATCACCCGCCAGATCAAAAGACACACAGACAGCAGGTCACGGAGAAAAGGCGTCCTTTAGAAAAGGTAGATTAAAGACTTTATTTAGGAAGACATTTTGAGCTCACTTTAGTTTTCATCAGGTCTGAGATAATAAAATTTATTTCTGGAAAAAAACTGTCTAACAAAACCAGAGTGTGTTTTTGAGAAATATATGAATTAAAAATGAGGATTTGTAGACCAGCAGACCAAATAAAATACATGTAGGCCTACTGGAAATTTAAAAAAAAACATATACATTATCGACCAATAAGGAAGAAATAATAATGCTGTGTGTGTGTGTGTGTGTGTGTGTGTGTGTGTGTGTGTGTGTGTGTGTGTGTGTGTGTGTGTGTGTGTGTGTGTGTGTATGTGTGTGTGTGTGTGTGCTGTCCTCTCAGCGGCACGGCTAAAGCCCGATCCATGGCGTACTTTGGTGAGGGCCAGGGTCCCATCCATCTGGATAACGTTCGATGCTCCGGCGCAGAGACGGCGTTAGGCCAGTGCACGGCTGTGGGTCAAGACGGACTTGACTGTCACCACAATGAGGATGCAGGCGTCATCTGTGATTACACCCTGGATCCTGTGAGAGACAGTGCCATGGCCCTGCAGACCTGTGGCCTGAGACTCAATAACCAGCGTCGTCGACGCAGGATCATAGGAGGAGATAAGTCACTGAGGTGAGAACACACAGATTCACACACATTCACACTGTTAGTTCACTGTCTCTTTAAATCCCTGTACAGCCACAGAAAACACAAACACGTGTTATTATAATAAATGTAGTGTGTGTGTGTGTGTGTGTGTGTGTGTGTGTGTGTCTGTGTGTGATGTCAGGGGTGAGTGGCCCTGGCAGGTGTCTCTGTGGCTCAGGTCTCATTCTAAAGGAAACCATCCTCTGTGTGGAGCCTCACTCATCAACCCCTGCTGGGTGGTGACCGCCGCACACTGCTTCAAGAGGTAGGAGACAGCTCCCTCTTATGGTCACCTGCTGAAACACAGACATCACACAGCTGAGAAAGGAGGCAGCCTGAGCTGCAGCTGCTGATTGAAATTATAACTTTACTCTCTTAATATATGACTCTTTCTTTGTAAAATCACAACTTTATTCTTAATATTATAACTTTTTTCTTTAAATATTATGATTTTATTCTCATAATTACAACTTTATTTTTGTAATTTTACGACTTTGTTCTCAAAATTTCACATTTCTTTTTTTTCCTCAATATGGCCCTAATACTCTTTCATAGTTTTCAGATTAATTTACAATGAAATCTTAAAATCATTTATGAAAAAGTTTTTTTCTGGTAAATTTCACACACACACAAAAACAATTATGAGAGTCAAAACAATGTTTTATTTTATTCAGTTACTCAGATGTTGAAGTAAAAACAAATCCAATCTAATCACCTGTATTCACCTTTTGACATTGTGACATGAAAGGGTTTTTACTATGGGTGCCTAATGTTGCCAAAATGAAAGCCCTCCTGACCTGTAGTAACATGTTTTGTGGGTCATGCATGTCATCTAATGCGCATTAAATGATGGGTATTTATTAACACCATCATTTCCAATCTTTCTTTGCTGCTCCAGATTCGGCAGAGACCCAACCCGCTACGTGTTGCGCCTGGGCGACTACCACACTGAGGAACAGGATGACTTCGAACGCACCTTGTCCCCTGAACGCATCGTCGTCCACAGAAAGTATCACAGTCAGGGATGGGAGTACGACATTGCCCTGCTGAGGCTCAAAGGTACAGAGGGTAACTGTGTAGCATTCAACCCTCACACTGGTGCAGTGTGTCTGCCGGAGCCAGGGAACAAGTGGGAGAAGAGGCCTGCTGCCTGTGTGATCACTGGCTGGGGCATCACAGGTACCTTCACTGCTTAGATCATTGGATCGATAAAATGTAGAACATCACTTTGCATCTGTTGGTTTTTCATCAGGACTTCATCACAGAGAGACAAACATGTTTTTTCATCAGTAATATAATGAACACTTTCATATCTGTCCATCCAGTGCAGCAGTTCTTATTTACATTAGGGCCACATTGAGGAAAAATCAGAAATTTAGAGAATAAAGTCATAACATTAAAACATAGGACAAGATGGGGATTATCCCGTGAACGTTTGAAGGAACTCCGCACTAGACTGATGATAAATTGCCAACCGCCAGCAGATGTCAGGGATCACCAGCAGATATTAACGACCACCTGCGGATGTTAGGGACATATCATTAGTCGTGTACCTTAGCGTCATCAGGTGTTTTCGGCCTTTTAATCACAAGACACCTTCTGCTGAGGCAGGCCCGCCACAGGCTAGTCAATCCTGGGTGTGTGTCCCTCAGACCTTGGGGCCCAGTCGGGGTCTTTCCTCCTGATCCATAGCCATTGGCTGCAGCTTTCTGCAGTCCCTGATGTTTCTTTTATGGTCTGTCCATGGAACTGCGCTCGATGTTCTGGGCAAGGCATCGGTAGCATTTCTTTTAGCTTCAGTTGTTGCTGCCAGGCATTATATATAAACATTTATATATATGTATAAATAATAATATTTGTATATTTTGAGAATAAAATCATAATATTTCAAGAAAAAAGGTTAATAATAAAAGTCATGCTTCTGGCAGCTGCTGTTTGTCTAACAATAGAACAGTCCTGATGATGATGATGATGATGCTGATGATGCTGATGATGATGATGATGATGATGATGATGATGATGATGATGATGATGATGAGCCAAAAGATAAAGTATCTAGTATAAGTGAAACCTAAAGTAGAACTTCACAGGATGCTCCAAGTTCCTCATTTTACAGCTTCTGATTTTTCCCCTTTATTCTTAACTTAATTCTCATAATAAACTTCTTGAAATATTATGATTTTATTCTCAAAATTACGACTTTATTCTCAAAATTTCAGATGTTTTATTCATCAGTGAGGCCCTAATACTCCGTTGTACTAATCAGCCCTTTCACTTAGATATTTTATATTCTAATATGCAACGACGCTCTCTGGTCGGTGTCAGGACTTTTCAGATGCTGCATGTAGTCACTGCACTAACAAATCATTTGTATTTCTACATGTTAAATAAACAAGATGCAACATGTTAACTACAGCCTCAGAGTAAATGACACATGCTTTTCTTCTGTCCAGAATCGGACTACTCCCGGACCCTGCTCCAGGCATGGGTGCCCCTGCTTCCAGCCTGGAGGTGTAAGAAGCGATACGGTGACCGCTTCACCAGCCGCATGCTGTGTGCCGGGAGCCTGTCGGAGCGCCACCGTGTGGACAGTTGCCAGGGCGACAGTGGGGGTCCGCTGGTTTGCCAGGGGGAGGGGGGCCGTTGGGTGCTGACAGGAGTCATCTCCTGGGGTCACGGCTGTGGTAATCCCTCCTTCCCTGGGGTGTACACTCGTGTGAGCAGGTTCCTGCGATGGATTGACAAAGTCATCAACAAACCCTACAAGAACTAATGATGCAGAATAACGATGTTGATATCCAGAGTCGTTAAGAGGTGTCAGGGTTTGTAGCAGCAGGTGTGTGCTGGTGAGAATTAGGCCTCCTTGACTTCTACACTGAGCTCTTCACATCATTTGTCTCTTTTCTGAAATCACTTCAAAAAGCATGTAAATGACACTGTATATTATTCTCACAGTGTGAATTCATTACCATACAGTCGGGGACACCTGTGCTGTGTCATGTGACCATGATCAGAGCCAGTGAGGAGCACACAGCGAGTGGTAAAACATACATCTCCTCAAGCTGCTATATGTGCCTGTTTCCTGCACCTCTTCATCTAACCAGTCCATTCCTCACTCGCTACAGGGTTTCAAAACTGACCAATCAGATTGTACCGCTTCACAATACCAGCCTTCCAGTGGTTTGCCTGTGGAAAGCTGTTAATGTGGAGGAGCAGCAGCTTGAAGGTACAGCTTGTTACTTTATGTGGTTTGGCCATGCTCCCGAGCAGCAGTCCCTACTGTGAGGCCACATGGAAATGCATATGTTCAAGGTTGCACAGTACAGGTCTTTGGGTCCTGATCCAAAGTGGACCACGAGAAAAAACCTGCCTGAGCCCAACGTGCATAAATCCATTTTGATAATCAAAATGGATTTATGCACTTTTCTCTATACAGAGTAGTGCCAATCCAACAGACTGGATTAGAGAAACCTGTGGCAATAGAATCTGGCTACTAGGAGTCAAATGGACCCACCGAGACCTCTACTGGGTACATATGATACAGTTCAATAGTGAGTCATTTAAAACGTTGAATGACATTGCACTAAAATGCATGCCTTACAATCACATTGTCACCTGTGAATGAGAACTTGATTGACAGTGATGGGTAAAAACAAAAGCCTTTGGAGAATGATGTGTGTAGAAGAGTAGAGTACTGAATTAACAGTCCATGTGTGCATCTCTGCACCACAGGTCAAACCATTGTTCATCGCTGTTATTCTAACCATTAATGACATCATTGATGCCAGATGTCTGCTAAAATGAACTACTACACTAATTACAGGTCTGTAAAATAACATTTACTGTCAACGACAATACATGAAAAAGTGTTAAAAGTGCAAGTCCATTAATAGGCTGTCTACATGTGGCTTATAACCAAAGATTGAATTACTGATCAGGCAATTGTCCTGGGACCCTAGACCTCAGGGGCCTGCAAAAGCCTCAAGTTCACTGTTTCTGGTCATTTGTTTAACTATAACTCTCAACTGATCACTGATGGTGAGGGCCTGAAGGTGGGTCCTGCTTTATCACTTGATCTTGTGTGCTGATATTGTGCTTACATGCTGGATAATCCTAAATGAATTTGTATTTATGTTTGGACTTCTGTACACGATGCACAGACATGGGGAAGAACATCAAGTTAATTTGATTTGAATTTACGTAATTCAGTACATATTTGTGCACCAGAAACAGATAATAGCATGTTGTCACAGGAAGTATTCCCTTATATACTTGTACATATTTCTCATCCGTATTACAACTGTTATGTGTTGCCACACTGTGTGTGTGCAGCTGTAGTGTTTACAACAAGGTATATTTTATTTCTGTTTCTGTTCTGCATTGGCCAATGCAATTTTTTTTATCATTTTAATTTATTTAGAAAAAAAAACATCAATGTTGACTTTGTTAAACTGTACGTATTTAAATTGTGTTAATGGTCACATTCCACTATGAGACAAGAGAAATAACAATATTGCTGTAGGTAACTATGCTGCTGGGACATTTAATATACAGTATGTGTCTTAGCCACAGGACTCATTATAGAGCCTAGCTTGATTGTCTCTATTCTTACTTGAAGCCCTTTTGTTCTTTTTGCAGAAACTGTTCATTAAATGTCTCAAAACCATCTATTCAATTCTCCACAATAACTCACAAATGTCCTCACACTGTGCAATCAATGCTCTACAGAACTGTAACATTCTCATAACAAACTGAAAACTACAATCCTCTCCTGGTGGATGTCTGCCTCCTCCACTCAGACTAATTTCAGGTTACATCCCTGTTTATCCAGAGTCAGAGAAAATATCAACCATTTGTGTGAAATTTCATGTCATAATGCTGTGAAGTCTTGAGTTATGGCCAAAACGTGTTTTGTGAGGTCACCGTGATCTTGACCTTTGACCACCAAGATCTGATCAGTTAATCCTTGAGTCCGAGTGAACAGTTGTGCCCAATGTGAAGGGATTCCCTTGAGGAGTTCCTGAGATATTGTGTTCACAAGAACAAAATCATGTTTTTTTTTATAGGTCAACCAAACCTTTAGCCACTAAAATCTAATCAGTTGATCCTTGAGTCCAAGTGAACGTTTGTGTCAATTTTGAAGAAGTTCCATCAAGGCGTTATTGAGATATCGTGTCCATGAGCAGGGGACGGACGGACAAACAGAAACCAGTATGCCCCCGGCTCTGACTGTCACTGGCATGGAAGAATAAAAATACTCGTCCTACAAAGGTTTACTTGGCAATTTCAGGATAATGTATATTTTCATAGCACTAAGTACATCTCTCTACTGAATTTACTTTTTCACTAGTTGATACAGTCTTTATTGTGATGGCTGTATTTTGTTCTCTCTCAGTGTTGACTTGTTCTTAATGGCAATCAACACTTCTTTCAGATGTTTAAAAAGCCTTACACAAGGATTGCTGCCTAAATTACTGGAATGGCTTTTAATCTGAAACTGATTGAGGAAATATTAAGTTGGCATTAACAACAGATGGAAAATTAATACACATAATACAGGGAGATAGTTTTTAACAATATATTTATTATTCTTTTCCTTATACAGACACAGAAACACAGAAACAAAGCAAAGCTCTGTTAACAATTGCACACATTAAGGTAATTAAAGAAACAAACAACATAAAACAGAATCATTTGGTACTCAAACATTTGGCAATCCCTAATGTAATATACTGTATCAAATAATAAAATAAATAAATAAATAATGAAAAATACACTAAGAACAAGATCTGTCCTTGTTTGTTCCCTTTTAATAAAACTGTGTTCCAGTGGATGTGACCCTAAAAAAACTTATCTGGTCTTTATTTTGTGCATTGCCAAAAAGGGTAACTATGGCCTCTTCACTTCTGTGCATACAGTGTATAAATCTGCAATGCTTCTACTTAAACGCTACATTAAAGAACAATTTAACTCAAAACTTAGTGGCGACCCCATTACCCGTGGATCTCCATATAATATTGGCAGAACACAAGGAACCAAAACTGTGCAATAAATGGATATGGTGAGTGCTCCACTCTCGCCCAGTGTCAGCTGGGATTGGCTCCAAAAGCTGCATTTCCACCACAGGAAATTTCCCAAGGAAAGTGGACCTTTGGTGGAACTCAGTTTCCCCTCCTGTGTATTCACTGGAGGAAACAATCTAAATGCACAGTGGGTAATACTTTATGAAGGTTCAGGAACTTTGGAGGGCATGGTTGCAGGGCCGATTGTTGGGCAAGTGGACATTTCTCCTCATTTGTTAACGGCTTCCTGATTTGTTCCTAAAAACAAGCAAGAGAAAGAGAGAAAGATACAAGCTGAGACAGCGAGCAAGCAAGAGCGATGGCGGTTGAGCGAGCTAGATGATGAATGAAGAGAGGAAGAGGTGGTACAGAGAACCAAGCCAATGAAAATGAGAGAAATAAACCCTTGATGATTTACTGTGAAGAAATGCACTCAGAGATTTCAGTTTCATTTTCTTCCTCTGCCTTTCTCCTTTTCAGTTATTCATTAGATGAAAGTTAAACAGCCGAATCATGAGCAGTAAATACAATGAACAGGGTGACTGTGATTTTGGCTAGACTGCAACAGCGGGGCCAGCCCTATAATCTGGAATGTCACTGACTGACTGACTGACTGACTGACTGACTGACTGGTGATAGTTTCACCACTGGTCAGTGGAGTGCTGAGCCGCAGTCTACTGAACTGCTCTGGTTTCCCGGCTGTTTGGGAACTGCAGGGAAGAGGAGGAGCACTTCCAATACACTGAGCCTCATCTCCATTACAGCAAATAAACTACTTTGATCCCATGTATCATTATTACTAAAGGAGGCAGAGGAATAACTAAACATAAGACACAGCGAGCAGAAGAGCAAGAGAGAGGGAGAGAGAGAGAAGTCATCAGTAACGAGGCTTCGTACTTCGAACGACTATGACCAACTCTACATATCAAACAGAGGGAGTCAGACATAAAGACCTGCCTCAAATAAAAGTCTGTTACGTTCTGGAACGTAACAAACTAAACTATTAAACAGATTAAACTATTGTGGATCCAGATGGAGGCTGTGCTCTGTGTGAGAGACTAAAGAGAGGTCTCAGATAGTCTGTCTCCGACCCTGGTGGTTCACTTGGTGGAAAGTGTGTCATTTGGTCTTACTCTTCACTGTGTTGGAACAAGTTCGAGTCCAGCCTGTGACCTTTGCTACATGTCATCTTCTCTCTCTCTCCCCCACTATGACTGTAATAAAGGCAAAAGTCTGAAAAAATAACTTTAAAAACACAGAGATAGTCCGTCTCTTCTGACTCTCTCTCTCTGAGTGATCATGTTAATAATAATAATAATAATAATAATAATAATAATAATAATAAACTTTATTTGTATAGAACCTTTCATACAAGAAATGTAGCACAAACTGCTTTACAACAAAGAAATGAAAATCACAGCTCAGTCTTTGTCTTTCATGATTTTGTCGTCTGACACCACAGTTTTGTCTAGTTTTGATCTAGTCTTGTTTTCCTTATGTTAATACAGTGGCCTCCAGGGCCTGATATAAGGTTTTCAAGATCTGGGCCAAGAACTGTGGACCCCGGTCAGACACGATATCCAGAGGAATGATGTGGAGTTAAAACACACGAAGGACTAGGAGGTCGCAGTCTCTGAAGCTTAAGGGAGAGGTACAGCCTTTGAAAAACTGTCCCTGCTCAATGATGAAACTAGGGAAACTTACTGAGTTACTATGGAATTCACATTTTTCAGCCTTCACAAACAACTTGTTCTTCAACAGAGGGTGAAGCACTAACCTGACATGTTGTATATGTTCTTCCATATTCTGGAAGAAGATGAGGACATCATTTAGATAAATGAAGAGGAAACGGTTCAAGGAGAGGCGTCATTAACAAGGGCTCGAAAGACAGTTTGGCATTTGTGAGGCCGATTGGCATGACTAGATACTCAAAATGACTCAGGGTGTGTATTCCATTCCATTTGTCTCATTCCCAGATACAAATGAGGTAGTAAGTGTTGCAAAGGTCCAATTTGTAGAAGACTGTGGCTTTATATGGGCTCAAAAGCTGAGTTAATGAGAAGAAGAGGATACTTATTTTTTACTGTGATATCATTCTTTCTCTTCGACAAAAAAGAAACGTCTCCAACTGGTGAAGAGGAGGGTTAAATGAAACCAGGTGAGAGGGAGTCATGAATATATCTCTCCATGGCTTCCCTCTCAGGATTAGACAGGCTGGATAAATGACTCAAAAGCTCTAATGAAGAGAAAGAAGTCTACTGGATGCCTCCTTGAATGGGTGGTCAAAAACCTCTCTCATCTCAGCTGTGAACTGAGAGTAAGAGTCACAAACAGGTTAACCCCTGTCCCAAAGTGCTGTGGCCCACTGAGCTGCCTTACCAGTAAGAAACCCCATCAAATATGCTCCACATGTGTGGCTGACTGAAAAACTAGTGAACACTGAAAAAGAAACCACCTACAAGCCCCCAAATCACCTGAGTAACATTCTGGAGTAGGCATAAAAAGGCTCTCTGGAGGGTGGAGCTGGAGCAATCATGTAATGGGTAATTGAAAATGTAACATGTGGAGCACATGTGGAAAATATGTTTCCACTTGTTGTAACATGTCACAAATACTGCAGATTTTCCACAGGTGCAAAAATCCCACGCATGTACATGTGCCCACGTGTGATTTTGCACATGTAAAATTCACGTGGTTTTTCAGTAAGGCTTGCAGCGCAGTCTAAGGATCCAGTCAGTCATGAAGAAAGTTCTTAACAGGCAAAATAAGTGAGTATCTTTAAACACAGTTCCCACACCTTTTTAACATTAAATTCAAGGATTTTTCAAGGTCTTTCAATGCAAATTCCCTCACATTCAAAGACTGAACATGGCACTGAACATTTTATCAAGCTTAATTACCGTTTCAACTAAGAATTTCTCTAGCCTTCTCTAACGAAGCGCAGCAAAACAATATATTGTGTAAACTGAGCAATAGAGACAAAGGCTTATTTATGAGTTGAATTAAAATATATAAATTCAAGCACTTTCAGTGGACCATGTCTATGTATGTCTATTTTTAAAACTTTCAAGGCTTTGAGTTTACAAAATAATTACTATTAGCACCACCTCAACTACCTACATAAAAATACTTATTACATTAAATCCAGTCTAAATTTTAAAGGTACCATTTTGCATAATTCATATTTTTTCTTTTGATTCTGACATTTGTTTTCCTAATAATAGTATAATATATATATATATATATATATATATAATAATGTATTTTAATTAAGTAGAAACAGAATATGTGTGTTACTGTTCTTACTTGGGAACTGACAAGGTCTTCCACCACTGCTCAGATGGCCCATATTCACGTCGACTATAACTGGGGGTGGACACTGTCAAAGTACATTTTCCTTGATTACTGTACTTAAGTATATTTTTTAGTGAAAGTATATTTTTCAAGGATCTCTACTTTGCTTGATTATTACTACTTGATTATGTTTTTGGGAAATCCCTGACTTTTACACTTGAAATAGAAATATTGTTCTTTTGACTCCACTACATTTCTATGAAGTATACTCTTACTTTGAAGCAGACCTTTTAGTCAGTTAAGTGAACTTTATTCTATTTTGGAAAATGTGATAGACTATACACTGTGTTCATCACAGGAGAAAAACCAATCACAGCCAACTCCTCCACTGTCAGTCATGTTATACTTGCTGCATTTTGAAAGGAGCTCAGTTTGAACTTAACATTGGCCTAATGATGCTACATTAGGTAAAGATGAGGCAGAAGATTCTTCACCTTTCGCTTTAAATGTTTGCTGTGACCAAACTTCATCACTGCCTACAAAGAGCATGTGGAGGTAACGTTTATTTAATTCCAGATAAACATTTAAACAGACAGCTTGTAGTATTTAGCTGTCCTTTTTCCTGCTGTTGATTCAGTTGTGTTTCTGTGGCCATTTCAAGGCTTTGCAGCATATTCTACAAGCTTTTTATTATACTGGTTCTACAAGTAGTAGTTTGTGTATCATTAGATCTAGGTTTGTAAATTTGGAACAATACAACATGTGTTGACATAATTTTTTATTTTTTGAATACTGTATTTTTAAAATCAAGTACTCCAGTACTTTAGCTCAAGTAAAAATCTGTATGAACTACTTTCACTTGTATCGGAGCAATGTTTGACCAGGAGGATCTACTCTGACTCAAGTAATGGAGATGCTTACTTTGTCCACCTCTGAATATAGCAACAGTGTACATCCATGCAGTGTGCCGGTAAGTAATGCCAGAAGCTCATTTGGGCTACTTCAATACAGCAATTCATATTGAGGTCAGGTTGAGGCTCATTTATGGAGTGGGGCAACATTAATAAATCAAATCATTAACAGGTTTGAAACATGACAGTATTCTCAGGTGTTTTCGGTTCATTGACACCTCGCCTGTCCGTACTCCTTTCCAGCCGAACTGAAAAACATCCGAGCTGCTGCCTGTGTAGAGCTGGCAGCCGGAAGCTGTGATCAGCTGATGGAGGAGGAGCTGAGAGAGAGGTGAGCCATCTTCCCCCGGCAGACTGATACACTCCGATAGAGCTTGGGCGAAGAGGGATACGGGATATCATCTGGGGATCCCGGTGTCAGTTGGAGGCAGAGACGACTGTAAAGACGCCAGGACAACCGGTGTCAGTCGGAGAGGGAGATATCTGAAGGACTCATTAGGATTTCTGCACAAGAGCTGACGGAGGGATATACCAGCTTTTAACGTCAGAGACAAGACTCCAATACAAAGAACGGAAAACATTGAGCTAGGAGCGGGGATTAATATCGAAATATAAACCGTATGTAACTAACGAAAATGAAAAAGTCCAGAAGATATGTGATATAAATAAGCATGTAGTCCTTAGGTGTTTCGCATCAGCAGTAAATGTAAACAAACAGCTATTCAAGCTAGCTGAAGTTAGCCGACTGGGGTTAGCTTTCTACTGCTAGTACATATAGCTAATGTTAGGTAGTGGGACCGGGGCAGACCGAAGGTAAACCGAACCGAAGAAGCCTGGCTTCGAGTTGAAAACCAAATTTAACCTCAATATAGTCGTCTTCGGTGGATGACAGCTGTGTGTGTTATCTCAGTATGCAGTTATTAGCACAATTAGCCTCTCAGCTAACGTAGGCTAAATGTTATTTGCATTAGCTGCCCAGCATAATAACATTACAACTAGCACAGTAAATGTAGAACAAAGAAGACATTTGGCAGTACTACACGCTACGTCCGTTTTTAACTTCAAAACAATTTGTTGTGAGAGAGATTAAACACTTTCAGGACTGGTGTAAATGCAACAATAGATAATCTTAATATCCAGCGCAGTCCAGCTGATTGGCTGAGAAGAGTAGGACGTAGGGATGAAGGAAAACAACTTCATGACTTAAAGATCTAATCGCATCGCTACCCCCGAGCCAGCGTTGTGCTGTCTTCGCCTCTCAGCTGCACAGTTAGAGGGAAATTTCAGTTTTACATGCTGCACTCTCGGTGTGTTTGACAGTAACCGAGCTTAGCTGGTGAGTTTGGCTCGATTGTCCTCTCAGTGGCAGCAGTCGGCAGTAGTACGGCCAAACACAGGAGAGGACCTTCTGTTTAGATTAATAGGCTGTAAAGGGAGCCACAACTCAACTCAGCCCGGCAGCATGGAGTGAGTTGTTAAATCGATCTAAATAGCGAATAGTTTGAATTGAATATAAAACAACCCCTCCTAAAACACAGGAGAAGTTACGTGTGGACACTTGGTAACTGCACCTTTGTTGTGAATATTTTCCTACAGACTACTTAATGGAGACCACCGCCTTGTCAGAGTTTGTATTATGTAGCTGTGTTTGAGGGCCCAGCGGTAAGCCTCTCAGCTGTGTTTTGGTTGCTAGTGGCCTCCCCTCCCCCAGTCTTGAGACTCTTGATTCTCCCCGAGTGGTGGACACTGTTTCGCCGGGTTTCCACTTGAGTTCTTAGACTGAAGAAAGGCCGTGGCCACAAGTCGCAGTCCTCTGGACTCCGAAGCAGTTAAAAAGTGGATGTAATGGAACTGATGTTTGCCGAGTGGGAGGACGGGGAGAGGTTCTCCTTCGAAGACTCGGACCGGTTCGAGGAAGACTCTCTGTGCTCCTTCATCTCAGAGGCCGAGAGCCTCTGTCAGAACTGGAGGGGATGGAGGAAGCAGTCTGCTGGACCCAACTCCCCTACTGTCAAGATTAAAGGTTGGAGGAAGGACACATGTACTCACACATATACCTCCACTCATTCTGAATACTTTATATTTATAATATACCATGAATCTTCATAATGAATGTGAATATAATATATCCTATGGTATGGTAATAATATTATCCTGTGGTATACTATTAGTTATAGATGATTTGGGGCGATACAGTCGAGAAACTTAGTTGTTAGTTTGGTCCTTTGGTTTGGTAGGTCATTTTAACACTGTGGCTGTAGCTGATATTATTGCAGCAGTAAAAATAAGTCCTCCGCTCCATGTGGTCCACTGAGCTTGGTCAGTTTATTACTCTGCATATGTTTCAAAGCAGCATATGCATATTACTCACTGAACTTTTTCAGACATATAAAGATAGTAGTAGAGATCGCTTTTTACAAGTTAGTCAACAAACTACTACTCCAGTCACAATCTGGGAGTATTTAGGGAGAGCACTTCCACTATGTATTTTAATCATCATGGTTTGTAATCTAATGGATGTGTAGTGGGAATGTGGAAGACACTGGCTACGGGTTGATGTGTTTCATGATCAGTCAGAGTCAGTCAGCATACAGTCTGTGTGTGTGTGTGTGTGTGTGTGTGTGTGTGTGTGTGTGTGTGTGTGTTATGCTATGCTATGCTATGCTCTTCTCTGGGGTTATTCTCCAGAGACTCCTCCATGTCCTTGTTTACTAAACCTATCAAGAAGCAAAGAGTCCTGTGCTACAGTGCTAGTGAATAACACTAGTTGCTTTTACTCTGCTAACTATCAGAATAAGAGCTCAAACAGTGTACACTGAAATGCATTTGGTTCTATTTGAAAGGTTGGTTTAAACTCTTCACATTGTTTCCAGAGATGAAAACGTGTTCTGTCAACTCTTCTCTTACTTTCTATGTCTGTCTGTGCTCACCTGTATGATGAACAAAGAGTACTGAAAGCGGTTCTTTAGTAGAAAACACAACAGTATTCCAACAGTGCAAAGTGCTCAAAGCAGATCCATCTTTGTCAGAAGCTTTGCTCTTGGTTGTGTGCTGGGTATAGTCTTAGCTAAGACAGAACTGTTCTGCCCATTGACTGTGGAGAATGGAGAATGAAAATATTACACTATAATTTCATTATGCAAGCCAAGTCATTACAAACTCAAACATTGTTCAAATCCACAGAACTTCAGTTTTAATCTGACCAAAGATCTCAAAGTTTCCAAAGGTACTAGAAATGTCAGGCTGAGTTTTGGAGAAATAAGACTGAAAGGATGTCAGACAATGCATCCTGTGACCAGATATCTCACAAACATTTAAATTGTGGAAGAATACGGCACCGTATTCATTCCAGGCAAAGCTGCATATTCGCTGAAAAATTCTCCTGCTTCCCACTTGCTGTGTTCTGGCTGACTAGAACTAGTATGTTGGACAAGAGCTGCAAAAAAATAGTCAATTAATCAATTAGTTGAGCAACAGAAAATTAATTGACAACTATTTTAAAAACAGATTAGTAGTTTTTATAATTTTTCAAATGAAAATGCCAAAGAGAATGAAGCCACACCCCTCTGTGTGTGTTGTAATCTCAGTTTCTTTGTTCTTTGTTTTGGTTGCGGGTTTGGTCGGGCATGTGTGTTCGTGCATGGCAGCCCCTCTTGTTAAACCATTGGTCCACCCCACGTTTATAAACACTCAGGCTCCGCCCACAGGTTGTATGACAGTGCAGTATGCAGCATTCAGGTGAGAGTGACCGTCCAAAACTTCCTCCAATGAGGAAGAAACCACGTTCCTCAGCCAAAAAGGCTCAGACATAGAAAGAGATCAGACCAGAGCACAGGTGGACTGGACATGAGGACTACTGGCTCAATTCTTGGTCGGCTGGTGGGTCATCAAAACAATCCCTAAAGTTTTAGCAGCTTTAAGCAACTTTAATGTTGTCACTGGCTCCATCAGTGTCTTTACCGGCTCCATTGGTGTCTATACCAGCTGCGTCAGTGTGAGGTGGGTGGGGAGATTTGTGGCTGAATGGAGGCCAGAGGTGTGGCAGACGAAGCATTAGTTTTGGTCTGAGATGCTGGTGGTCTAGTATGATATCTAGTGGCAATTAGGATCGTTTACAGAACCTTTAAATTTGCATGATTGAAGTAGCCAGTGATAATGAACAATCCGGCGGGGTGTTCTGTTTGTCTCGCAGTGCTTCCATCATGTTAGCGCTCAGGGACATGAAGACAGTAACAGTGGTGAATTCACTCTGCAGATCCTAAAGCCGACACTTGGTGATCACAAACTCCACCAGGGCAGAACAGCGTTTGGACACAACCTCAAATTGTGAACCTTTGCTGATATAAACACACAGTCCATCACTTAGAGTCTCACTGGATGACTAAGAACTGCTACATGCCTTGTATAACTAACTGTGATCAGACCCCCTACTGTCACTGAGCCTGTACTTTTAAAGGTATTTCTATTACCCCATTCACACTTAAAGTGTGATGTGCGTCAAACCTGCATTGGGGGGTCTATCCGAATGAGGCAAGGCCCTTCAGCCAACCCTCCCTCACGAGCTCCCCTCTGACCATTGTTGGATGCAGGTCGAAGGCTGCCCGGCTTGGCTGAACTGACCAGAAATTACTTCAACTAACTGTAAAAAAGAGAGAGAAAGTGAGTGAAGATGAGGAGAGAGAAAAATAGAAGGCAAGTGAATAATCAGGGGTGAGGGAGTGTGGTTTGGAGAGATAGAGGAGGTGAAATCTGATGGTTATTTGATTTAATATTGTGGTTTCTCAGTGAAGTTTTTGAATTACACTGCACTGAAGTTTCTGCTAACATTGTAAAGCAGGTTAACAGCTTCTTATATGAATAGGTCCAATGAGGGGTTAAAGTGGCAGGCGGGGGAGATCAGTTTTTAATAATAATAAGATCCAGTTTAGGTGTAGTGGGGAAAAACGACTCATCTCAAAATAACAAATTGCATGGTCGAAAAAAGCAACTCCATTTGCAGTCACTCCCTTTCTGTAGCTAGCTAGATGCTGACATTAAGAACCGCGACCGCAAGTTTATTGACCTGCAATCATAGGGACCATACCAGAAGCAAACACACCTGAAAACACATACATACATACATACATACATACATACATACATACATACATACATACATACATACATACATACATGAGCATGCACAAGCTGGTGTAAACAGGAAGCAGATTGTCTACTCTGCAATTGAGTAGTCGCACTAAATACTATGAACGAGGAACAGAAAAGACAGTTGTAGTGGTATAATACATGATTTCATTGAACAACAGCTGTTAACAAAGACAACAAGGTCAGTGACACTTGTAATTCATTGTCATGTTGTATTCACCACTGGTAGTCGCGGCTGATAAGACCCTGTTACAACCCTGGAGTTTTCAAACCAAAACGTGGCCAGCATTGTTTCCAAAAGTCTCAGTTTTCGGGGGTGGAAGTAGTGTAGATGTAGCCTATGTCTCCTGTCTGAAGGGGGTAGATGTTGATTTGTTGAAGGTTTGAGGTTTGTCCAAACTGTCGCCTGCAGCTCCTCATCTAACAGCTCACCGTGGCTGCTTCTTGTTTTAACCTTTCTGCAATATTTAAAGCGGACTCACTGACCAAACACTGAGAAAATGTTGCTCTGCACACCAAAGACTTTTCTGTCGAACACTAACCTCTGTGACAGGTACAGTTGTACTTCAGATTTTCTTTGGGTTTCAGATGCCATGCGGGTACATTTTGTGTATTTTAGAACATAGAAACACTCAGTGAAAAGCAGCACAAGAAAGAAAAATTCAGTTGCTCAGGGCAAGGAAACGAGTGCTGCCTTGGCGAATTGTGTGTGTGTGTGTGTGTGTGTGTGTTTTAGTTCACATGTATAGTTGACATTGTGATGGGGGAGGGAGAGCTGACTCCTTATCCTACACAGGCAGCTGTAATAAATAGGGATATGACTGTTCTAAGGCATCACAGTCCTCCTACCTTTTCCAAGATTTACCTGAGTGTAACATTCATCAAGATATGCAGAATATTATGGATGATATCTTATTGGCTTCTTAATGAGGTACAAAGAAAAGAGGACAGAGACAAACATTCATAACATCTAACATGTTATCGCCTTTTCGACCACTTTTCCATAAGGTATTAACATAAGAGCTGTATCTGGATATCTGATCTGGTGCAAATGTACACAGAATGCTTTTCAATCAGAATGCGATTGGCCTGACCACACCTGGATGTGGTCATTAGCCTAGTTAGCACGGCTACTACTAATTAGCTTAGGAACGCCTTTGGTTGTGTGTATGATGACTCATATGTCACATGATCATTACTTTCCATGTCCCAGCAGTCCCTCAAGACTATCCTGGATAACATCCCTTGACCTGATAGACCACTGTGTTTCTTGACAGTGGTCTGCCAGCTCCTCCCATTTAATTACATTGGATCACACTGTGGGTGGAATAAAGACAATGAGAACACATATTATTTGCAGATGTAAATGTCAAGGCCTGTGACCAGAGTCATTTTCTAGATAACACATTCAGATACTCTTCCCATTAATAAGCTGGTGGAGGGGTGGAAGTTGTGATGGCTAATGTGTTAGCAAACAGTTACCTACTTACGCATCCATAAGACACAAGTCAATTTTATATTCCCATGGACAATATTCACACAGCGGCCATTTTCCTCTGACATCACGCTGAGGGTGGGAAGCCTTGAACACTTTAATGTCTCTGTATGAATTATGTGTGAGACCGGTGAGATGGTCGAAAAACTTGTTTATCTTCACTTTCCTTTGACCGGTTATCAATGTGGTCAAAGGAAAGTGAAGATAAACAAGTTTTTCAGATGAATTTGCCAGATGTTGAAGGTAAGACCAGCCCACACTTGAAACACTAAGTTAATGCTAGGCTAGCCAACGTGAAGTTTGCAAAATGTCAATGTTAGCACTACTAAAGTTGTCAGATGACAAATGAATCCACTGGATTGTGCAAACATTAAACATTAACT